TCTACTTGAATAAAACATGCGATTTATTTTCAATTTGATTATAAGTTTTGACTTAAGATTAGCTCAGCTATTGTGATTTTATGATCCATAAAGTTAAAATTTTAATAATAATTGTTTTTTTTTCGTTCTACACAAATGTAGTACCTACTAGTATAATAGTAGTAAGTTTTAGTATTATTTCAGGATAATGTAATAAATTAAATGATTAATAAGTTGACAAAATGGAATACATTAAAGTTAACTTTATATCAACTTGTCTTTTTATCTACTACAAATTATTCCCACTACTTCTTATCAAACGAACTCAATAGTTTTGTAATCTTTAATTCTTACATTTCATTCTCCTTCTAGTGCAGTTGGATAATGAATAAAACTGGCTTATTTTCGTTTATTTGATATATCAATCATTCAGTCAGTAAACATTAAATACTATCGCAAACGCAATCTACAAGTGACTTAAATAAGACAATATTGTAATTTATTGAAAATACGCACCATGAGCTGATTGATATAGTACTCGTAGGTAATGGTGTTAGTCACGGGATCCAGGGCGGTCTGCATCATCTCATCGTATTCTTCCTGCAATAAAATATGTATTAGGAGAACAGTGGCGAGGCAGGCAAACAGATCATCATCATCTACTATTACATAAGATGCAGTCGACAGCACGGTATATTGTTGTTGTTGTTCACCTGGGTGAACAAAGTAGATTTTTAGGTGATATAAGTCCACTTGAACAATGAAAAAAACGCATATGTTCATCTGAGTGAATTAAGTAATTTCCTAGGTGAACAAAGGCGACCGCTTTAGTCGGCTCAATTCAAGGAAAATAAAGTTGGGTAAAATAGTTCCGAGGTAAAGTGGAATAAACCGACAGCACCTTAGGCTATCCATTTTTTGATGCGAAATAATTGTTATTAAAACTGCTAAGATACTACAATGTCTATGGTAACGTGCCGTAGCCTTTTTCTGCCTACCTGCGTAAATGGTTCGCCTTCTTCAAGCATAAGCTGCGCGAACCTCTCTTTAGTGAGATACCCGCGCTCCTCCTTGTCAAAGTAGCGGAAAGCCGCCAAAAGCATCTCCGCACTGGCTGGGTAGAATCTAAAACCAAAAACGTTGAGCTAAAAATTCATACTATTTCTAGTACCTCCTAATTTTATTGTTCATAAATTAGAAAGGTAAAATTTAAGTTACTACAGTGAGGCGCCAAGATAGGCAGAATCGAATGTGGAACCCATGAAGTAGCTAAAATTTAAGTTACTACAGCGTGGCGCCAGAAGACGGACTTATGCCCGGAATCGAACGTGGGACTCCAAGTATTTAAGGCGATTAGTGTCCTCAATCCGCGCCAAATGGGCATTTTGTAAAGCCTACTCCTCTTTTACTGCTGGACAGAAATAGTTGAAAAAAATATATGTTATACAACAGTTCAAGGACTACATTTGTGACGTTTGAATTTTCGCTACGTGTCTTTGTTTTGGATTAAAAAAACAAATACGGGATATCAATTTTTTACTTAAATTCCCTACTCCTCCAAAACGGCTATGTTAATTTAAAAGATTTTTGCACGAATAGATTGGGAATTCTTTAATCTTTAAATGACACGTTGCGTTTTTCAATCGAACATTACTTTCATTCATAAATTTTACTTTTGATAAATTCCGAACGTTTTGCTGTTGAGGGGGCCTTCGCGGGGTGCGGGCGGCAGTCGGCCGCTGGCCTTCAGACGGGGAGGTTGTGTCACTCGCTTCGATTTATTGTGGGCAAAAGAAGGAGTGCGCTGCCCGCTCGTTGCCCGCTCCCGCGCCGCTGTTTTCGAGAACCGGTCTATTTGATTTTACGCATAAGATCCTGCCGCTCCCGCCCGCTGCCCGCTAAACTCGAGGCTGAGGCCTAAATACTATCGCAATACGTAATCTACAAGTGACTTAAATAAGACAATATTGTAATTTATTGAAAATACGCACCATGAGCTGATTGATATAGTACTCGTAGGTAATGGTGTTAGTCACGGGATCCAGGGCGGTCTGCATCATCTCATCGTATTCTTCCTGCAATAAATTACTTATTAGGAGAACAGCGGCGAGGCAGGCAAACAAGTAGTCGACAGCACGTTGACAGCACGGTATATTGTTGTTGTTGTTCACCTGGGTGAACAAAATAGATTTTAGGTGATATAAGTCCACTTGATCGCCGCAACAAACTCAGTCACCACTGTGACTGAGTTTGTTGCGGCGCTTCTTCTCAGCACTTGCCAAATGTTTGTCTCGAAGCGCTGGTAGGGCAAAAAAAGAATGAGACATGTATAGGTTCCTTAAGAGCATTTGACGATTTGTAAGTACTAATTTCATCATTAGTCTATACAAATAAAGATAATATTGATTTTTTATTATGATCAATGAAAAAAGTAGCATCTGTTCAGCTGGGTGAATTAATTTCCTAGGTGACACCCAGGTGAACAAAGTGGAATAAACCGACAGTACTTAAGGCTATACATCTTTTGATGCAAAATAACTTACTTATTAGGTACAACTGCTAAGATACTACAAGGTCTATGGTAACGTGCCGTAGCCTTTTTCTGCCTACCTGCGTAAATGGTTCGCCTTCTTCAAGCATAAGCTGCGCGAACCTCTCTTTAGTGAGATACCCGCGCTCCTCCTTGTCAAAGTAGCGGAAAGCCGCCAAAAGCATCTCCGCACTGGCTGGGTAGAATCTAAAACCAAACACGTTGAGCTAAAAATTCATACTATTTCTAGTACCTCCTAATTTTATTGTTCATAAATTAGAAAGGTAAAATTTAAGTTACTACAGTGAGGCGCCAAGATAGGCAGAATCGAATGTGGAACCCATGAAGTAGCTAAAATTTAAGTTACTACAGCGTGGCGCCAGAAGACGGACTTATGCCCGGAATCGAACGTGGGACTCTAAAGTATTTAACGACCGCGCCCATCGGACCGTCTACGTGACCGGAAGTGACAGCACGTGGGAATCCCCGCCCAAAACCGGAAACAGAATCTATGTAAAGGATTTTTAAATGACTGTGGTATATAGAAAGTAGCTACCCATTTATAATTTACAAACCTGTGTTCTAACATAACTTTACACATGTACGGCAGGAAGTTACTTAGCGGGACGTTGCCCGTCGCTTCTTTATTCTCGGTTGCTAATATCACCTCTTGTATTTCCGCTTCAGTTGGACAACACCCTGAAAAACATTACTGTGCGGGTAAAAAGCCTTAGATTAATAAAGCTTAATCTAAGTAAAAAGCACATAAAACGTAGGTAGGTTTAGCATTGTTACTTGTGATAGTGGTTAGTGTACTTATATAGTGCCTACGATGCGATTGCGAATAGTGTGCAGTGGGACGTGGACACCATTTCCAAACAAGTATCACAAAAAGAGATGAAGGAAGAAATCACTTTAATCTAGATGCTTCACATATAAGAATAGAGGTACTCTATTAATTACCTAAAGACCGCAGAATGGTACCAATTTCTCTAACGTCAACCACTTGTTTCCCAGAGTGGTCAAACACTTCGAAAGCCTCCATAATTTTCTTCTCCAAATCATTATTAGGTTGAACTACAAAATTATTTAATGGTGAGTTATTATTATGATAAAAAGTTAGGTAAGTAATATTACTTAAAGATTTTAACTCGTACTTTTAGGTTCTTCCTTACGAGCCATTTTCGTCAGTAATAATTGAGTGGGTTTTGAGTATTTAATTTACAAAAAGGATAAAAATAAGTTATAGTCTAAACATAACGTTGGAAAGTCAAAATTAATCAAAATAATAGCCATAGCAACAGTCAGAAATATTTGAGTTTGGTAACTATAGGCTATAGCACGGTAATACTATCATATAGTATTACCGTGGCTATAGGCATTGATATTTCATTCCCAGTTTTCAGACCGTTCCAAAAGGGTTTTAGGGACAATCAGACATGACTGAATAGGACTAAATCATCCTCAAAAATCATAAAAGTTCATTGTTCGAGAGTGGCTATTTTAAAATAAGTTATCAACCAAATCCTACTTTTGAAATTATGTACACGATAGCGCTGTAGATACTTTTATGGCGCAAGTACACTATGCGGAAAATCGGCCAAACGTAATGGTGTGAACATCATCTCGGTTATTTTCTCCTCCCTCCTCGCGTGAGTCGCCTAGTGATGGGCCAACTCGGGAAAAACAAAACTCGATTTAACCCGAGTTAAAATCCACGTAACTCGGGTTGAACTCGAGTTACGTAACTCGAGTTAACTGGATGGACAAGTGAATGTTTTTTTTTAATTTTACCAGTTTATTCCCAATAACAGTCTAAAAAATATATACAGTCATATTATTCATTCATAATGTATTGGGAGAATTTTAGCTTGATTTTAGTTTAAACAAATATTTATACTGGGTGTTAGGTAAATGGGTATATGAGCCGACACTAGCCCTTGTTAACATGGGCATATAAATGGTATGGTGAAGTCAGAAATTTGATATCATCATTTTATTTTTTTAAGTTTTCATACAAAATAAATTTTATAAAATCCGATTTGTATGAAAATTAAAATAATTAAAATGAAGATATCAATTTTTTGACTTCACCATACCATTTATATGCCCATGTTAACATGAGCTAGTCTCGGCTCATATACCCATTTACCTAACACCCTGTATTTATTATCACTTGGCATTTTTCAAAAACAGAACATAAAACACAAAAATCTACAACAATAAAATCGGCAGTTTAAAGTTAACTTCAAATCTACATTATATTGTAACACTTATTTGTTATGAATGGACGAATGAACATAGTCTCATCACTCAAATGATCGGCAAACTTCGCTCCATGTCGGTTCCATTCGGTTTATGATACGAACTCGAGTCAGAGGGAATTCAACTCGAGTGGGTTCGAGTTACGCCCAACTCGAGTTAACCCGAGTTACTTACTCGAGTTGACCATCACTAGGTCGCCCATACTTCGGTGTGCGGTGTGCGGGCTAGAACTTCGAAATTGATTGACCAAGTTAATTCGGAATTTTAGCGAGGGTGCTGTCCGTATACATCGTTGTCAAGACATATCTCAAAATGCTTAGTTCTATTTTTTAGTCACGTTCATTCTTAAATTTGGAGTTTGTCTATGGCCCCGCAACCGACTGTCGGCCATCTTTGCATTGGGCAGCCGCCATATTGGTTTGATTTGGCGCTTTCTCAGGTCGAGCTAGACGCATATTTTTCGTATTTCGCGAGTTATGGTTGATTTCACGTAATAGAGTTAATTATTTGTTCAAACAATAGTGATTAGTGTAGTGGGTCGTAACCGATCAACAACATGGATCCTGCTAAAATGAAAGTAGTGGACCTCAGGTCGGAGCTTGGCGCTCTCGGATTGGATACGAAGGGTAACAAGCCGGCTTTGGTCGAAAGATTGAAGAAAGCACTTGAAGCAAAGAGTGGAAAAGGTATTTAGTATGTTAAACATTAGGTAATAGTTACTATCACTTCATACAAATGTTGTATCCCAGGACAAACACAAAATTCTATACAAATACACGTGGTATTTCCACTAACGATGTTATCATTAGCAATTTTGGCTGTGATGTCATATAATAATATGCCAACGGTAAAGTGCTTTATAAACTTTCCATGGTTGGTGTTCGATATAAGCATCATAATAAACAAACGTTATCAGTAGGATGGATTTAATGAGAATTTAATTGAACAAGCAAGCACCATGAAGTCCACTAAAATTAAATTAAGTACCTACTTATTGACAGACTGTAGGTAATGTAATAATTATGCAACTATGAATTTACTAAGATTTATACTTGTCTGATTGCTCGGTCAGCTCTTCAGTAGGTATGTGAAATTTATAATTTATTGATTTACCTTCTTATTGTCACATTACCATCAACCAAACACTGTGTTTAAACAATAAATAGTATTTTGTTTTTGGGAAGTTAATGTAAAAATCAAAGTATGATATATCTCAAAGTTTTTATGCTACAGAGTAAATTCTTTCACCATTGTTTCTATTACAGTGGAATCTCTATAACTCGAACCTCGTTAAGTCAAAATCCTCAGTAAGTCGAAAAAAATTGCCATTCCCTCCCGCTGAGCACCTAAATACGCGGTATCTCGAATTATTTAGACTTTGTAACTCGAACAAAATGTTATTTCCCTACGAAGTATTGATGATACATATTTATACTCTATAACTCGAAAAAAAAAGGGGACTCCGTAAGTCGTAGTTAGTAAAATATAATAACGTCTTACTTGGAATTCCCCGAAATAATAGCAATAAAATCCAAAATGTATGTTAGGGTTCGGGGCTTCTAATCTATTGTTTTTGTCTTGTACACATGCAATGAAAGAATACATCAATGAAACTTTCTAAGTAACACAGCTGTGAACGTGATGTTTGTCCTTGTCGCCACAGGACACGATTACTTATAGCGGAGCTTGTCCGTCCTCTACAAGTCGAAATTTCAGCAGTTAAGTCCTTGTATCTCGAAGTTCTTGTTAAGTCGAAAACTCGTTAACTCGATTTTTTTTGCATTTCCCTTGAGATTCCAGTTATAGAGATTCCACTGTAATTGAAAGCTCAATCTTTCAAACACCAAAATAAATAAATAAATTACATCATACAGGGTGTTTGGTGGAAGGTTAGACAAACTTTGTGGTGTATAAGTAAGGTCATTTTGAGTTTTTGATGTTTGATTTGGTCTAATAATTAGACCAAAGACATATTCGAGATTAATACTAAATAATAAATTCGGTAGAAAACACGCGAGAAAAAAAATTGAAGCATTTTTCAGGTCAAATTTTGGAAAAAAATAAAAACAAAAATACCAATAAAAAAAAAAAGTAGCTGACTTAGGGTTTTATGGGCGAATTTGTATTCTCAAAATGATCATAACCTATAGGTACACCCAAGAAGTTTATCTAACTTTCCACCAAACACCCTGTATATTCAGTCCTGCAGTTGCTTTCCTTATAAATATTTAAATTGTATTGTAATATCTTTGTGTGGGAATCTGGAATACTTTTACCTTAGCAGGTCCAAATGATAATTTTGATCCTTATGATATCGTATTAGACCAAGAAAATGTGACAAAAAAAAAATACACCCAACTGAAAGACACCTTTAATATTTACAGCTATCCCAGATACATCGATTCTGGATACATCTACCGAGGATGCAGACGAACCAGCCACTCCACGCAGGCCCGGGCCTGCTTCCCGGACCACGCGGAGAGCCTCTTCATCCCGAGTGGCACCAGCCACTCCGATCAAGGTATGTGTTTAGATTTCATGTACTAACACAGATCCCGAGATTTCAACGCTGGACACAAGGTGATGTTTTCAAAAGGTACTTGGTTGTGTTTTTCGAAAGATTCAATTATCACCTGAGTACCACAGTCTAGTCACCAGATTGTGATATTCTTTTTTTATTTCATCAAAATTATTTTTTGCATGCAAATACATTTCATGTTCTTTTATACCAGCATCTTTTTTTAAAATTATATTTTAGTTCATTGCTTTGTTTATTTTTTGTTTTTGATAATTTTTCGAAAGATCTCATTTATTATTTATCCTAACCCTTTCCCGTTACCTTTTCAACATAATATCATGATTTTGCTCACTAGTTGGCGTTGCAAGGCCGTTCGTTATCGTATTTTCCGTGTTTAAAATAAAGCATATCATCCCACATCCCATCCATCTCATTATTTTTTTTATCCTTATCCCGTTTTGATAAATACAAATGATTTACCATTCCATTCGTAATCATCTCCATCACAAAAATACAAAATGAATCTTTCGAAAGATAGTTGTATCCATCTTGGCATCATTAGGAGACGCCTGAAAACGTTGACGAGCCGGATGCAGTCCTGCCTGCAGCTAGGATGACTAGAAGAAGGTCCTCGTTGACTCGGCTGGCTGCGGCCACACCGACCAAAGTAAGTATATCTATTATTTTAAAAGTTAATTACAAAGCAGTGTGATTTATTATTACTTTAGAATTAAAATTGCCCAAGAACTAAGAATTTTAACGTCCAATCAAACGTGAAGTTCAAATTTTTTTCTACTAGACTATTTTTTATTTAATCGGTACAAATAAAACTAAGAAAACTTAAACAGTGTTGTACATAAAAAAATCTTTCAATATCAATAACAAAAACGATCTTCCATTAGTCACACTGCCAATGCTCAAGCAGTGTCCTAAGTCAGCGTCGAGCGTAACGCGTCGCGTCACTCGTCGCTGACTTACGACACCACGAAGCTGCAGTCAACTTACGGCTGTTTCCTATTGTAGCAACAAAAAGAGACTCCGGAACCTATAGCCGAAGAGCCGAAGGCCGAGGAGGCGCGCGAGCCCTCTCCCGAACCCGCCCCTCCCACCCCTGCTCCAGCCAAAGAGGTAAGTTTACAAGAATGTGGAAAAGGTAAAGCCCGGTCTGTGAGCACGTAGAATTTTGTCCAATGACCCCAAGCTACCCATCCTTATCGCTCGCGCGTAATTATATTGCTGTCGCGACTGCGCGACGGGCGCCCGCAGTGAGTGTGCGAGCGCGACAGCAACATAATTACGCGCGAGTGATAAGGATGGGTAGCTTGGGTCATTGGACAAAATTCTACGTGCTCGCAGACCAGACTATAGACTATTTCATGCTTTTTCAGCCGAATTTACGGGTCTACTCTGCAATGCCTTGTCCATTCATCTCTCACATGCCTAAAAGATGAATGAGAACAATGGAAAAACGAAAATATACAGGGTGTAAGAAATAGAAAGGCAGTAACAGTTCATTCGAGTGATGCTTTCTTTTACACGCATCATGCCTTTAACGCTTCCCAGTCATTAACGATTCAGTCTTAAAAGGAATTTATTTTAAGTTATTAGTCTTTCTTTACACTATAATAAAGCTCATTAACGCTCACTAAGCGCTTATTTTAACAACTCATGCTCATCATTCCTCATTTAAACTGCCTCTTACACCCTATATGAAATGCGTCGCAGAGCGTGCCCAGTTCCAAACAAACACCAATACAACCTTGTCATTGCAGCAAGAGCCGCCGGAGCCTGAACCGGAGCCGGAGCCCGAGAGAGCGGCGCCGCAGCCGGTGCCGGCGCCGCCGCCGGTGCCGGTGCCGGTGCCGCCGCCGGCCGTGCCCGCGCCGCAGCCCGTGCCGCCTGTCAGCGAGCCACCCGCGGCGGCTGACGCCTACTCGATCTATGACGATAGGTACGATTATAAGAAGAAATACTAAGAAAAAGGCTACAAGTGATGCTAAGTTCGACTAAAAACTAAAAACAAGCATGTATTGTATTAGGTATAATAGATCGTTCCATCCATGAAGACACGCCCCACCATTCTTCCGCTAATGTTTGAGTGCTATCGGCGGTACACGCTAAAGAAGAACGGTCATCTGTGACCCAGGCCCGACAGAAACGTGACATACCTCAGTTTTTTTGTCATGTCTTAATTAGTTAAATTATATATTTTTTATATTCGAAATCTATGTATAACACCAAATTATTACCCTTTGTTTTTGTTCAGGCGTCATACAAAAACTAATACAAAATGCCTATTTATCAACAAAATTGGTAAATGTATGTACCTAAATAGCTGCTATGGAATGTATCAAGGTGACCTGGAGATACAGCCGGATTATACAGGGTGGNTTACCAATAATTCCAGAAATAATCCACAATATGTGTGATAGTTCTATACTTATCTTCTCTATTCTTCTTCTATTGATACAATAGTGTTTGGTTATTCTGGCAAATATTGCTATACCATTGATGATGTTGAACATAATAGTGATTCAAACAGAAAAGTTAATGATGCCAGTACGATATTTCAAATGCCTACAAAATAACATTAATGATTTCACAATAAAGTATTATTACTTATGCAATAAAAACGCCCGTTTCTGTGATAGTAGATCGCATAATTACACCATGATGTGTTTGGTTATGGGCCATAACCATGCATAGATAATGGTTGTCCTTCAAACATGAAACTGATCGGTTGCTTCATAGTATTGTTTACGGAAAACACAAAGAGGGCACATTTTATACTGCAGGTAGTTGTAGGATATAGATTTTAGTTATGTTTTATTTTAATGTAATATTTTGTTTCTTTTCAGGAGCTCATCTCCAGTCAATTTCAAACAAGGTGAGTTTCCATATACCTCTGAAAATACAGCATAATGAAAAAAGTTTGCATAATCTTCTAATAAGCCATTGTTAGCAAAGATATTTGAGGTTGCTTACTATTGTTTTATTTATTACAGAACCTATGGAAGTTCAAAAGACAGAAAACATACAACCAAAGGAGGAGTCAGAGGAAAAAATGAATGTTGACGAAGTTTCAGAAGTTAAGAAAGAAGATAATAAAGAGGGTGTTAAAAAAGAACCTAATGAGAATAATGAGGATGCTAAAAACAAGGCGCTGAAGGATGAGGTAATTATTAAACTTATTAATATTGTTTTATTGGAGAGATACAATACTTCCGTAGTTCCGTCGTCTACTGTTCATTGCGTACACAGGTTTTTACTGAATACATGATTTGCCTATGTTTCTGAAAGTGATGTGAATGCTTATACTAAAACGTTTATTTTTATTTGTATAGAGAACAATAGTGTCTAGACAAACCTCAAGAGGATTTAAGACACTATTTAAATCAAAGATGTAATGGCTAAAATTAAACTTTATTGTGAAAACTATTTTGGCAAATGTGAAGTTTAATTGGTAACTCTATGTGTTATAGAATGCTGTTTGTTTTCTTAACAATAAAATAAATAATGTAATAATAAAATAAATAAATTTGGCGATAGCAAAGTTGAAGTTATAATTGCCGCTCTACATAAGTACTTATTTTTCATCTAAAAACGTACGATGCTGAATTAAGTCGTTCCTCAAGGGTTTTCTTAACACAATCTAGCACGATCCAAATTCTAGCACATTGAGGCTTGTAAATCGGTCCACACTCTACGCTCGGGTCGCTTCAACTAAAAACGTACGACGCTGAATTAATTCGTTCCTCAAGGGTTTTCGAAACACAATTTAGCACGATCCAAATTCTAGCACACTCGAGGCTTGTAAATTGATCCACACTAAAGCCTGGTCCGTGAGCACGTAGAATCCCGTCCAATGACCCCAAGCTACCCATCCTTATCGCTCGCGCGTAATTATATTGCTGTCGCGACTGTGCGACGGGCGCCCGCAATGAGTGTGCGAGCGCGACAGCAACATAATTACGTGCGAGCGACAAGGATGGGCAGCTTGGGGTCATTGGACGGGATTCTACGTGCTCACGGACCAGGCTTTACACGTTCGCTGACGCATTTTCACACGTAACGAATGTTCGCCGCAGGCTCGCGAGCTGTCCGAAGCGGAGGAGTGGCGGCAACTCAACGAACGGCTACGGGAACGGGAACAGGAGCGCCGCGAGCGCGAACAACGCCAGGCCGAGGAGGAGAAACGACGCGAACAGGAGCTCAGCCAGGTAAAACATTATCATTTTAGGCACAGGCAAAGGCGTAGCTACCAAGAGGCTAGACGGAGCAGTGCTCCGCAGGGGGCCGTAGAGTCCTTAGGCCGTTTGTAGACGTCCGTTTTTTCACAAAAAACGGATATCCTTTGTTTGCTGTCAATTTTCTCGCCGGACCCATGTCCGATGCATGTGCACACGTTCATTATAAACCATACGCCACCGCTAAATCCGGTGAAAGAATCGGGCCGTTGTCCGGTCAAAAAACGGATGTCTACAAACGGCCTAAGAGCGCTTCGGCATCGGTCCGGCGAACAGTTTGTCCGGTGCATGTACACACATTCATTATAATTCATACACCACCGCAAATCCGGCAAAAAACACGGTCCGTTATCCGGTAAAAAAAACGGACGTCTACAAGCGCTCTAAGGCCGCTTGTACAACGGCCCGATTCTTTCACCGGATTTAGCGGTGGCGTATGGTTTATAATGATCGTGTGCACATGCATCGGATATGGGTCCGGCGAGAAAATAGACAGCAAACAAAGGATATCCGTTTTTTGACGGTCCGTCGTCCGGTGAAAAAACGGATGTCTACAAACGGCCTTACCAGAAAATCTCAATCGAACTGAACTTTCAAAATTTATCTTATTTTCTTATTTCGAAAATAGAGAAATTCGAAATTTGACGGATAGTGATAATATGTGCGTTTTATTGTTGTGAAGAGCTGTATCAGGAGTGAGTAAACTATAGTATGGTCTGCGAGCACGTAGAATTTTGTCCAATGACCCCAAGCTACACATCCTTATCGCTCGCGTGTAATTATATTGCTGTCGCGACTGTGTGACGGGCGCCCGCAGTGAGTGAGCAAGCGCAACAGTAACATAATTACGCGCGAGCGATAAGGATGGGTAGCTAATTATACGTGCTCACAGACCGGGCTTTAGTGTCATAATAAAACCTAACCAGTTTAGATAGCACTGGGGCCCCATTTTTTATTTGCCCCAGGGCCCTTGGTACGCTGCCTAGCTAGGCCACTGGCCACAGAACGTGACAGAACTGCTGAACATAATATGCCTCCCCAATGATTTCCTCCTGCATCCAGCGCCTTCCTGCTACCTTTATCAGGTTGTCAGTCCACTTTGTGGGTTGACGTTCCATGCTGCGTTTTCCAGTAAGGTAAGTGCCCCAATGAAAAACACTTTTTAAACTCCCGTATCATGAAATACCGGTATTTTAAAACAAATGGGAACACTAAATCATGAACTTTTGACATTTTACTGTCAAAATTGAGTTTTACATTTAAGGCTAGGATTTACCGCCTCGATGCCGTGCATTTGTTTACCTCAGCCCCCGCACACCTCGCACTGACACTCGCGCTGACACTCGCGCGTACGCGTTGACGCCACAGTGTAAAAACAAACCGTAAGTTGGATGACGGTTTACGTAATCTTCAAATAGTTAATAAATAAATAATAACATTAAATATCCTTCGACAATGAGGGCTATCGTTTTAGCGCTCACCAGTTAGCGCCACTGTAGAGTAAGGTCCTGTCACTTGCTAGTAGCGAAAACAGTGGCACCAACTGGTGAGCGCTAAAGTGGTAGGAGGACTATCGCATTTGCACTCATCAAGATGGCGCCACTGTAGAGTAAGGTCCTGTCAATCGCCAGGGGTGCCAACTGTTAGGTATAAAAACGATAGCCGTCATTGGAAGAGCAGACAGTTTTGACAGTTCCAACTCTTTGTCAGACAGTTTTATAGGATAGCTAGCTACCAAAGCCACGATGACCCAAACTTCATGATTCACCAAAATTCTATCCTATATTGGGAGCATATGCTGACAAACTTTCAGCTTTTATAAAATGACGTAGGTCTGGCGTTCACCAGCTCTTAGTCTATTTTGTTTCCTCTTGAAGGAAAAGGCAAAGGCATTCGCCAATCAGCCAAGTCTTCAATAGAAATCCATAGAGATTTACAATGATTATTCTTCCACAGACGACAGCGATCTGAACCAGTATCTGGAGCTGCCGGGCCTGAACGCGGTGACGCCGCTGAGCGAGGGAGCCTTCGCCCACGCCTGGGCCGGCGCGCGCGCGAGCCACGGCGTCAGCACGGGACGCGTCTACTACGAGGTATGTTTATTTATAAGTAAGTTCTTTATTGTGTATAGAAACAAACAGGTTACAGAAAGATCTTAAATTAATTACAGAGTATCACTTGATCCTACCCTTTCAGGCGTATACACATTTATAATTCTTATATCTAAACATATTTATTTATAATCTAGGTATTCTTGTACACTATAAAACATTTTTAGTTAACCATTCTTTAATAACATTTCTAAATTTTGAGAATTTTAGTTCTTTAAAATCGTCTGGTAGTTTATTATAATATATTTTTATACACATAATAAAAGCATTCCTTGATGCTAGTGTTAATTTTGTCTGAGGCCTTACTAGTTAATTTCTGTATACAGAGCGTAGGTTTCGATTTGAAATTTATTGGGCTGTCAACATGAGGTACAGTAATAAACACAATAAAAAATGTTTTATGCTAAAGATCTCAACTCTCAAGCTAACTGCTCCCACACAAACAATAATGATACCACAGGATGATCATTTGCTTGTAACATGCTATTTTATGCAATGGGGTAATTGAGAAAATTGCTAGACTTATTTAAAAAAAATAACTTTAATCTAGCCCTGACAATCTTTAGTCAAAGTTGGCAGAAGGGAGATCATAACTCAGAATTGATATACAAAACGTGCGGACTTGGTGCATTTTGTTTGACAACTCATAAAAATAATTTAAATTGACTGTGGTCTAAGTACCCAGTGTTAGAAATTAACTTAATAAGCAGTCGAGTCACACGCCACTGATGATAGCGCTAGATGTGATTTGTTGTATAGAAATTCACAAAAATGTTACTGAATTCCTGTATTGTATTACAAAGCTCGTGATTTACTATTGAATTCTGAGCTGAAAATGCAGGTAGATAATTATTTCGTATTTACTCTCATGCACCTAATCCTAAATTCTTTAGAAATTTCCATCGATGTAAACAAACACTTGTGCACACAATTACACTATAATACTCACGTTTTCTTAATATCATACACATTATTTCACAAGCTCATGAAACCAACTTTATTCTCATGATGAAACAAATATCAAATCTAACATTGAAAACAAAATATTTTAACAAAATATTTGGATGGTGAAAATTTGTGCTTCATGTTAAAATGTCAAATCGACATTTGACGTTGAAATTTAGGTCCTATCTCTGGAAAATCTGTAAGTCGTAGACAATTTTCATAGATAATAATCTGTAAATTTTATCGATTTTATTTCAAGTATTCAATTATTTCAATTACCAATTACTTTGATAATATTAATTTAAAATAAAATATAAACGAGGTTATATTCAACAATGTATTTTTTCTTCATTGAATGCAAGAACACACTTTGCGAAGAAGTCTTTGAATTCAGCTTTATTATACAGACGAGTGTCACACAAAAAAGGCCTTTCGACCACTTTTCGACTGGTTTACGATTTTATTGTGCACTTTGTCTAGACCCACAGTATAATTTAAATTATATTTCCTAAACAAATAAAAAAGGGAAAATTAAATTTTCTTTGATTAAGAAGATCCTATTTTGACGATCACATTACTGATCACAACATCAATCAGAAGAGGGATTGATCTTAATAATTATACAAACGATCTTTAAAAATCTAATAATCGTCTGTTGCAGTCCGTAAATGACATTTACAGAATTGCGATTAACGAGAGATTTTGTCGCATCACTAGTAGATCAACTGACATAGACTAAAAATTCGTCAATGTCAGTTGGCCATATTTGTTTACATTTAGGGAAATTTCTAAAGAACTAAGGTATATGTATATGGTTTGTGAGATCGCAAGCGGAATAACACAACACCTCTACCAACTTAATGAATATTATAACCATTTTTTCTAAAATATTTTTAGCCCCCCTTAACCTATCAATTTTTTTTTCACTGTACACAATACATAAAATCCTATTTTATTTGCTATTTTTATTGACTTTTTTGAGTTTTGACACCTCTACTCTAAATATGTTATTTGACTTGGTTGAGCTGCTTTTTGAGTTAAAAAAGTAAAGTAAAAGTAAAAAATGTTTTGACAAAAAGAGCGACATGACATTTACATAAATTACAAAAAGAAGAAACATTGTGCCCTGCTGTCAAATAGGGGCCCGCTCAGCATTAATCGGGGCATGCCCGCATGCCCATGCCCCGACACCGATTTTCAGCGGGTCCCTTGACGTTGCTGCGCCCTACCGTTAAGATTAAAGTAAACAGTCAAATAAATAGAATGAAAACGATTGTTACAGGTACGCGTCGGTGATAAACTGCCAACAATAGCGGAGCCGGACAAAGACGCGCCCGGCTCGGGGCTCCGAGTCGGCTGGTCCACTGAAGACTCCTCGTTGCATCTTGGTAAGTCGACAATACACACTGCGGGGCTACCCCGAATAACGTTATCCGAAGTTTCGAATGTTGCCGTCCCTCTCACGCACAGCGAGATGCCAGCATGAGCGACGGTGACAGACGGACCCGAAACTACGTAAACAGCGTTTCGTAGTAGCCCTGCTGTTTACCTTGCAATACTAAAATGCATACATCTGTTTCCACCAACAGAGAGTCGAGTGAAATGAAAAAGAGGGCAAAAAGAGTAAAAATGAGCTCACTCATCAAACCAATACTCCCGAATTCTTTCTTGGTGAATAATGGCAATCCTATTTTATGTAAACCAAGACCGCTCTTCTAAACATGCCTAATTCATACCTCTGGCGGTGGAATACGGGCTTAACTAAATGAGGGCTATCTTATTTGCCCCCTGGGTGACGCCGCTATAGAATAAGTTACTGTCACTTGCTAATAGCTAAGACAATGGCCCCCACTAATGAGCGCTGATTACGCTGAAGACTGAATCAGTAGGAGCACTTCGCATTTGCACTCGCTAAGATGTGTGTGTAGTGTGTACTGTCACTCAATAGCCTGGAATTTGGATCATTGACATATGACACTTTTTCATTACGAGTGCATAAAAAACGTGCTTGCAATGCTGTGGACATCACAGTTCTACTCCGATCATTTCCACTTACATAATCAATATTATGTGAAATAGAATATTCCTGTGCTGATATAATAGCGCACGATTCACTGTTGAGTTGTGAGCCAAAAGTGCAGGTAGATCAATATTTCGTATTTACTCTCATACATCCTATGGTTTGTGAGATCGCAAGCGGAATTACACGTTAGATATGACTTTAGAATTAGAATTATTTATTTGCGTACCCCCTCCAATGAGAGCAAAGAAGTCTATGGTTTCAGCGCTCACCAGTTGGCGCCACTGTAGAGTAAGGTCACTGTCACTTGCTAGTGGCGAAGACAGTGGCGCCTGCTGGTGAGCCCTGAAGCGGTAGGAGGACTCGCATCCTCTGGAGTTGCCTCGTTTTTGGAGCCCGCAGGGAGAATCCCACATAACCCACTAGCTGCCCCTGCGGCTGGTGGGTATACAAATCAATGTATTTTCCTGACGATAAAAAAAGCAGCCGGCGGACTTTATTTAGGTGTAAGATGTAAGTGTAATTGTGTATCGTTTGCAGGCGCGGACGCTCAAAGCTGGGCGCTAGAAAGCAGCGGACGGCGCGTATGCGGCGGCACCTTCGAGCCCTATGGCGCTGAATTGTCTGAGAAAGACGTCGTCGGAGCCTACTTGGTAAGTTTACGACATAATATGTATCTGTAGAGCGAAGATAATGTATTTTATCCATAACGAGAAAGCTCTTGGCCTGCATCTTGTACTTGTACTTGTAAGCCTAGGATGTGCGAAGCAATAAGCTTTTACAGCATCATTTTATCGATTTTACGCGATAAGCCCATACATTTGTCGTCTAAAGTCATTGATAAGATGTTATGATGGCGCGCATCTTAGCCCGGCTGATGATGATGAGAAGATGAAAGTTTTGTCTCTGTGGTATAATATTAAAGACCCCCTTTTATAGACCCTGGGTTCGACTACTTTTAGTTGCATAGTGTGCTGATACACCCATGTTATTGAACTCCTGTATTGTATTACAAAGCCCGTGATTCACTGTTGAATTGTAAGCCGAAAATGCAGGTAGATAATTATTTCGTATTTACTCTTATACATCTGTACGGTTTGTGAGATCGCAAGCGAAATATCACTACAATGAAGACACTATTATTAACTAGTATTCGACTTTTATATGGCCAGAAAACATTGGCATTCATGGTTGAGTATCCCAAAGTAATCCCAAAACTTAATGCGCATTTTCTTTTTAGAAACAAAATCCCAGTTTTAGTGTCATTTTGAGGTTCTATGTTGTATCAGTGTTGGTAAGGCGAGCTGTGTCATCATCTCAGCCATTTCAGCCATATGACGTCCACTGCTGAACATGGGCCTCCCCCAATGATTTCCACAATGGCCGGTTGGTGGCGGCCTGCGTTCAGCGTCTTCCTGCTACCTTTACTATGTCGTCGGTCCAATTTGTGGGTGGCCGTCCCGCGCTGCGTTTTCTGTTACGCGGCCTCCACTCCAGAACCTTGCTGCCCCATCGGCCGAGCATCATCATTATCAACAGCCCTTTATAGTCCACAGCTGGACTAAGAGCCTCCTCCACTATAGTGGAGGGTTATGCCATAATCCCCACGCTTGGCAGGCGGGTTGGTAGGCCAGTAGAATTAAACACAAAAATTGATTAAATCGGAAATAATTCCTACAAAAGATTTTTTTGCTTTAATGGCTTCATTGGTTGCCCATTAAGACTCTCCTAAGTTTTCGACTTCGACGGAGTTGTGCTTAAGTGGTGGGGGCCCCTGAAAGGGGCGTTTTTTCGGTTTTCCGGTTATACCGCGTAAAGGGCTTACCCTATCGAAAAGTGGTCTTCATGACGGTTAAAGGGCACTTATTCCTGCATTGAATAAGACCAAATTCATATGTTTTGGACAAACCGTTCTCGCGCTAAAGTTCGGCAAAGTAGAAAATATNCATGATTGAAAATTCTTAGCTTTCTCCAGTAATACTGATATTATTATACTGTGACTCGCCACCCGCCAGACAGAGGCGATTTTGTCAAAAATATTGACAAGTCGCGAACTGTCACAGGAATAAAACTGACACGCGTCCGTCCTCCGTAAGCGCCACCGCGCGACTGATTAAGATTGTCCAAGCCGTCATGGCCGATTTTTTCACATTTTTTCAACATAGTAACTAAATAAGACGCAATAACAAAAGTTTGAAAAGTTGTCGACCTAGAAAATACAAAGTCCTATCTATTAGTATATATTTTAAGTGTAAAATGTTAAAAATGAATATATGAGAGTAAAACAAAAAAGCCGTCGACGTACTTCTTTAGAATTTTTTTTTATCGGACAAACTATGCAATATCGTGTTTTGGAAAAGTTGTCGCCCTAGTTAAAGACATTAACTTACTCGTACAATTTTTTGTTTGCTAAAATATCTTTTCATTTAGAAGCTATCTGCAAACAAAATCGGTCAAATATCGACAATTTGGGAAATCATGGCCTTAAGTGTCGCCCATTTGCTAAACGGTGTTTTTTCGAAGATTTCTTTTAACATTTCTTTAGACAGGTGAGTTGTTATTAATGTACTAAGATTTGGTAATACGAGTTTATTATTTATCGTTATTACATTTTATTAGGGTCGATTTTTCAATCGTCAGTTAACTTTTATCTGAAGAATAAACTTGTTATGTTGACACAATTCCCATACTGAAACTGTCAATGACTTGCCAAACTTATTCCTCAGTTAAAAGTTATCCATCGATTGAAAAACCAGCCCTTAGCGAATAGAAACTAAATTGTAAATAAACAACTTGAAAAAATCGAACTGCCTAAGGCGGGACCCGAACCCGCCATAGGCAGTTTGATTTTTTCAAGTTGTTTATTTAAAATTTTGTTATTTATTTTCAATGTAAGATATTATTGTCAAGCTATTTATAACATAAATTGCTATATAAAACTTTTGCGTTTGAAACACTATTTTACCCTACTTTTTTTACTCTGTTCTTTTTTTTTGTAACAGTTATGGCTCCTGAGAGAAAATACTGCCTGCGTCGGTTTGGACTGGCTATGGAATACATGGAGGCCATGCAGAAAAGTACGGAATCTGATTCTGATTACCAACTTATACCCCTTATTAATAAAAGTTACACCCTAGTTGAACTCTGGCTTAAACTGTCATTTAGTATGGAAAAATCATTTTAATCCAGAGTTCATCCTAGGTGTAACTTTTTATTAATAAGGGGGATAGGTTTTATTAAAAACATTTATTGATATGTGAATTTTATTTTTCTTGGTCACTTAGTTCTTTGGTGCAAGAACCTGATTTCACTGCATCTTCCATCACACATTTAGAAGACCCGAGCATCAGACTACCTACAGTGAGGCTCTGAATCATCATTGGACCCACTGACCAAGACTGGGCATTCATAACTGGAATAAAAACGTCCTAGTTTTTGAGACAGATTCCTAATTTTATTATGAAAGATAAATGCTGTTTAATACCACCGGTATATCAAACATGACTGGTGCGCTTACCTTACGTGGCCTACTCTACAGAATCTTGCTGCCCCATCGCCCGTCGGTTCTGCGTACTATGTGCCTGATAGATAGGAGAAAATATTTATACACATAGGCAAACACCAACACGTTTTACGCGGTTTCCTAAGGAAGCGACGAGCGCGGCGTTACGCGACACGGCAAGTGCATCGTACACAGTCATACCCACCCCGCTGTTACGTCCTTTTCCATAAAAAAAGCTATGCGTTGGCACCGCGCCAGTGCTGCGTGGATCCAGCGTTTGGCAACCGCTCATCGCAACGAAAATAATTCGCCAAATAACTCGGCGAATCACTGCTAACAACTGTTGTCATCCACAGGACCCGGTGCGCCTGCAGCGCCACAAGCGAAAGCAAGAGAAGAAGAACCGCTGGAGCAACTTCTACAAGTCCGTCGAGGTCATCAACGAGGTCTTGACGCCGCCTGTCGAGGTATACATACAGGGTGGAAACGATAAGTGATCTCACTCAATTATTTCTAAACAATACAAGATATCGAAAAACTGGTTACTGTTCCTGAAAGTGCTTCACAGGCTCTTTCAAACGATACCATTAATAAGTTACATAATAAACTGGATCTATCCGAAAATTCTATGTTTCCAGTTGTATATGGCTCAGGAAAATATGTTTATTTGTTTTCAACAGTATCTATCTACACAGCATAAAGTTCAAATTGATGTGGGATCTATTTAAACAATGCCTGGTTAAGAGTTAACTTAAAACCTTATCCTGTTATGGTAGTGTCAACAATTTTTTCGTTCAATTCAATTGATCCGGCTCGAAGGACCACTTTAATTTGATTTACCAAGTTTCGTGGGGTTTATAGAACTTGCGTTAACGGCTCGAATATTTTATCGAATACCTTTAATAATTTATATTAATGTATTTTTTACAGACTGATGTTATAAAACCGAAGAAGGAAACTTCTACCGAAGTTAGGATTCCTGAACCAGAGTTGGACGACGATAAAATCACTTTATCTTGGTGTAAGTATTTATCCATACATTCTTTCTTTCGTTCGTTTCTACACGGATGTGCACTGATGAGCAAAGACCCTAAGGATTTCTACAATGTCTGGCCCTCCGCTGCCCGCGTCATGTATGTGGATTCACAGTTTTGAAATTGCGAATCATTTGTAATTGTAAATTCAATAACATGTATATTTTGCCCATGCCAAGTTTGGCTTAAGACTATGCCAGATAGAACACATTTAATCGTTATTAAAATTTATTAGCGAATTGAGTAGCTCAATGAGGGCTATCGTTTTAGCGCTCACCAGTTAGCGCCACTGTAGAGTAAGGTCCTGTCACTTGCTAGTAGCGAAAACAGTGGCACCAACTGGTGAGCGCTAAAGTGGTAGGAGGACTATCGCATTTGCACTCATCAAGATGGCGCCACTGTAGAGTAAGGTCCTGTCAATCGCCAGGGGTGCCAACTGTTAGGTATAAAAACGATAGCCGTCATTGGAAGAGCAGACAGTTTTGACAGTTCCAACTCTTTGTCAGACAGTTTTATAGGATAGCTAGCTACCAAAGCCACGATGACCCAAACTTCATGATTCACCAAAATTCTATCCTATATTGGGAGCATATGCTGACAAACTTTCAGCTTTTATAAAATGACGTAGGTCTGGCGTTCACCAGCTCTTAGTCTATTTTGTTTCCTCTTGAAGGAAAAGGCAAAGGCATTCGCCAATCAGCCAAGTCTTCAATAGAAATCCATAGAGATTTACAATGATTATTCTTCCACAGACGACAGCGATCTGAACCAGTATCTGGAGCTGCCGGGCCTGAACGCGGTGACGCCGCTGAGCGAGGGAGCCTTCGCCCACGCCTGGGCCGGCGCGCGCGCGAGCCACGGCGTCAGCACGGGACGCGTCTACTACGAGGTATNTAAAATATTTTTATAGTCGTGAAAGAAAAGTGGTTCACAATGTGTTAAAGTATTTGTCGAAGAGAAATACTAAGGGTTCGGACAATATTTTCATTGAATAATGTTTCCGACAAAGGTTGTCAAATTGACTGACATGTTTATCGTATAGTACAGTCCACTATGAAAATTAGCTGTGGTTTGTTTCAACTACCTATTTTAAAGTTTTTTGTCACTTTCTAAGTGTTGAATTTTATGGAATTGGGAAAGAAGTACCGAGTTTGAAGCGTTCATGAGCAGACATTGCAGTTGAATATTCAAGTTCTGAATTTGATTATTGACGAATAATAAAATAAATCCTACTAACTCGATTGATGGTTTCATTTAATTTATTTAAACCAGGTTACCTATAATAATATTTTTTCGTAAATTTATGAAAATATCAAATTAGCCCGTAATCCAGAATCCTGATACATAAAGTTAGCCTATTAATTTAACACAGGTACGACTGTACTCAGTGTTGCACTATCAAATGCAATTGACGCGCCTCTATGCCAGGGTTTTTATGTTCCTGGTCAGGCTATAAAATCATTATTATAGCGCAGTTACACTATGTGTGTATGGCACAGCCAACTAGCAGCGATACAAAAGGTCGATTCGACTGTCGAACTGACAATCTATCTTATGTATAGTTCCAAAATACTGAACTGTCCTATCCATGACATTGACAGTGGGGCGCCACCGTCAATATCGGATCGCTGGTTTCGATTTTTGCCATGTTGGAAACCATATAGTTGAACGATGGTAGCGCCCCCCTGTCATTGAGTTTGGTGGGACAGTTCAGCGTGGGTCATCTATATTTTTCGTAATGTAATGCATCAAATAAATACTTTCTTTCTTTCTAATGTCTCGTTCTCCCGCCAAAATATGTCAAAATCAAAACCCTGCTATTCCAAATGACCATGACATTGGGTTTGTTTACATTTGGTATCGCTTCTCGTTGGCCGTACTTTAGTTGATCGAATACGCACGGCGAAACGAACTGAAATGCGTGTTTACACTACATATCGATGAACTCCGCGCATAGTGTACCTGTGCCATTAGGGCCAACGTCAAAAGTTGCACGGGTGCCGCCCGTGGCCTCATTCAGAGTGGAGGCGCGTCTGCACATTGGCGCACTTCAGATTGTACCGCCATCACTATTTTTCAATGCAGATAAGTGATTGCATAGCAGATTACTTTCATGTTTCAAAATAATACAGATAAGGATAAGTAGTAAGTAATTCAAAGCAATTCAATAATGCATATTAATTAATTCCTGTATTGTAATAAGAAGCTCGCGATTCACTATTGAATTGTGAGCCGAAAATGCAGGTAGATCAATATTTCGTATTTACTCTCATGCACCTACATGGCTTGTGAGATCGCAAGCGGAATAACATTGCATCTCCTCTAAAGAAATATTTCGTAATTAAAGCATTAAGCTTTTCAAATCAAATCAAAACCCGATTTATAATAGTCTTAACGGGTAAGTCTGCGTTATGAGTTACGTGTAAGTCGTAAGTGTACAAAGTATAATAAGTCACGAGTAATTATGTAGGTCATGCAAACGCTGCAATATTTAATTTTATTAACTTGAAGCATTCGCCGATCAGTTCTACACAAATTCTCAACCTATTAATTAGTGTGCACACAATTGTCAAGATTTATATTGTAATTATCTTAAATAAATAATCAAGAGTTTCCTTATATCAAGACAACTACAACACATATCTTGTACCATCGCGTACAGTAAGTTAAATAGAATGAAAACGATTGTTACAGGTGCGTGTCGGTGATAAACTGCCAACAATAGCGGAGCCGGACAAAGACGCGCCCGGCACGGGGCTCCGAGTCGGCTGGTCCACTGAAGACTCCTCGTTGCATCTTGGTAAGGCACATTTAACAGTAAAGCCTGGTCCGTGAGCACGTAGAATTTTGTCCAATGACCCCAAGCTACCCATCCTTATCGCTCGCGCGTAATTATGTTGCTGTCGCACTCGCACACTCACTGCGGGCGCCCGTCGCACAGTCGCGACAGCAATATAATTACGCGCGAGCGATAAGGATGGGTAGCTTGGGGTCATTAGACAAAATTCTACGTGCTCACGGACCAGGCTTTACATCAGAGGGCTTAGTGTGAGTTTACATCAAACGTCCTCACTAGTGAGCTACTAGACGACGTTTGATGTAAACTCACACTACTATTTATGTAATATTTTAATGCAAAATCGCACTTATTGCATTATAACTTTTGTAAACCTTTGAAATAGACGTTTATAACAATCTCTGTAGTTCTTACACTGTTTCTTATCAGTATTGGCCCACATGATTGTCCTGGAGCTTGTAGGTAGTATGGTTTCACAGGGACTTTTGAAAAGCGAAAAAAATTATGACATTGATAATGCCGCTGTCTGTACCTTACTTTTATCACAGCTGTAACTTGGTTTTCTCTTAAATTGTTCGATGGTGTGCAAGCTGTTGTCAGCCACGAGAATTTAATGCATTAGGGTATTCCTGTGCTGATATCATAGCGCACGATTCACTGTTGAGTTGTGAGCCAAAAGTGCAGGTAGATTAATATTTCGTATTTACTCTCATACATCCTATGGTTTGTGAGATCGCAAGCGGAATTACACGTTAGATAATATGAGTTTATCTTGGTAAATGTAGTGGACTGGTTTAATCTAACCACTTCACTTGCTTATCTCGCACTTATTACTTGTCTTATTATAAGTGATAGTTCGTGTAATAAATAAGAGGCTGACAAAGGTGGATAAATTTCTTCGACCACATCATCACCGACTGATATGATGTCCCAAATGTTGAAAGTATTAATAAAATGTATTGCGTAAATAATGTATAATTAGTATTTATGCTAACCCCTCCAATGAGGGCTTTCATCGCTCCAATAAGGCAATCATTTTAGCGCTGGAGTGGGTTAACCACAATAGCCCGCAGGGAGAACCCCACATAACCCACTAGCTGCCCTCGCGGCTGGTGGATATACAAATCAATGTATTTTCCTGACGATAAAAAAAAGCAGCCGGTGGACTTTTTTAGGAGTAAGATGTAAGTGTAATTGTGTATCGTTTGCAGGCGCGGACGCGCAAAGTTGGGCACTAGAGAGCAGCGGGCGGCGCGTGTGCGGCGGCACCTTTGAGCCCTACGGCGCTGAATTGTCTGAGAAAGACGTCGTCGGCGCCTACTTGGTAAGTTTACGACATAATATGTATCTGTAGGGCGAAGAGAATATATTTTATCCATAACGAGAAAGCTCTTGGCCTGCATCTCACTTGTAAGCCTAGGATGTGCGACGCAATAAGCTTTTACCGCACCATTTTATCGATTTTATGCGATAAGCCCATACATTTGTCGTCTAAAGTCATTGATAAGATATTATGACGGCGCGCANTCACAGTCCAGCAGACAGCGGGCTCGCCGTTCCCTCGCTGTCCGCCTCATGGCAACCCTGTCTGCCACCACGCCGCATTACGTGCGCTGCATCAAGCCCAACGACACGAAGGAAGCCTTCCGCTTCGACCCGGCGCGGGCGGTGCACCAGCTCAGGTGAGACAACAGTGTCACAGTGACTCCAGCGTCACAGTGTCACAGCGTCACAGTGACTCCAGCGTCACAGTGACTCCAGCGTCACAGAAAGGTTCTGGAATGGAGACCGCGTACCGAAAAACGCAGCGTGGGACGTCCACNTGACGTGCGTGAGGTGCCAAACTGCCATTGTCATTTTGAGCTTCTATGTTGTACAAAAGTGTTGGTAAGGCGAGCTGTGTCATCATCTCAGCCATATGACGTCCACTGCTGAACATAGACCTCCCCCAATGATTTCCACAATGGCCGGTTGGTGGCGGCCTGCGTCCAGCGTCTTCCTGCTACCTTTATGATGTCGTTGGTCCACCTTGTGGGTGTACGTCCCACGCTGCGTTTTCCGTTACGCGGCCTCCACTCCAGAACCTTGCTGCCCCATCGGCCGAGCTGTGTCATCATCATCAACAGCCCTTTACAGTCCACTGCTGGACTAAGAGCCTTCTCCACTATAGTGGAGGGTTATGCCATAATCCCCACGCTTGGCAGGCGGGTTGGAGATCGCAGTTTAAAAGATTGATGTTTTTCAGAGAGCGCTGCTGCCCGTTCTCTGTTTGATGGGTAGTCCCTAAGTCGCCTCTTACGACAACCGCGAGAAGAGTAGGGGTTGGTGACAAATGTATTCTACTCTGCCGTCACCACACGGCCGTCATCTAATTCTAAATATCTATATTTCTTTCCCCACCAGGATCTGGAGTCGTCCCCATGCAAGATTTCCTTCGCCATCAACGGTGTGGACCAGGGTGTTGCTTACGAGTTTGAGAAGGAGGCGCTGGGAGACAAGCCTCTGTTCCCGCACGTGCTAACAAAGAACATCAGCTATAAGGTCAACTTCGGATATGACAAGTGAGTTGGATCAGTTATAAGCCGATAGTTGGGTCGGGCTGTTAATCGGTATTGAGATGTATGCAAGTGCGCACACGCGACTAAAAGTCGGTGGTCTGCGTCTATGCTTAATGTGATGTCATAAATAATATTTATGACATAGTAAAGTCTGTCTATCTGTCATAGAGACCGAATCTTAACATACCTTACGCTGAACTAAGCTATAAATCTGAATTATCAAACAAGTAAGAGAAATGAAATTCATTACAACTATATTATTTGTTAATGAAAGTTCTTAATCTGAGGACGCGTGCGCAATAAACTAAAAAACAAAAGTTATGAAACTAGTGCCCGTTTTCGCCATTGATCCCTAATTTTTAAGTGACCCCTATAGTAACAATTAACACGAATTTTATTTACATAGGGGTCACTTAAAAATTAGGTATTGATGGTGCACACGGGCATAAGTCTTACTCTTATCTTAATGTGTGTTCTAAGTCCATGTTTTATACTAACTAGCTGACCCGGCAAACTCTGTTCCGCCTTAAAGGCAATAAATTAGCAAATATTTCCTTATTTGCCCACCGTTTACACCTACCCTGGACTACGACAAACATTTTAACGCCAAAATCAGCTCAATCGGCCCAGCCGTTCTCGAGTTTTAATCAGACTAACGAACATCAATTCATTTTTTCTTATATACAGGGTGTTAGGTAAATGGGTATATGAGCCGACACTAGCCCATGTTAACATGGGCATATAAATGGTATGGTGAAGTCAGAAATTTGATATTATCATTTTAATTTTTTTAATTTTCATACAAAATATTTTTTATAAAATCCGATTTGTATGAAAATTAAAATAATTAAAATTAAGATATCAATTTTCTGACTTCGCCATACCATTTATATGACCATGTTAACATGGGCTAGTGTCGGCTCATATACCCATTTACCTAACACCCTGTAGATTTATAAGTGTAATTGTTTGTTGTTCAAAAAAACAAAAAAAAAATGAAGTTAGTCATAAATCATAATGTTATATTTATTTTATTTCAGATACAACATGCTAACTAAGACTAAGACGGTCCGTAAAAGGCTGGAGATTCCTGTAGAAGAGGTCATAGAGCAGAAGAAAGCCATAGAGGCGGAATTGCAGAAGCAGAAAGAGGAAGCCGAGAGGAAAGAGAAGGAACGACTCGAGAGGGAAAAGAAAGAGCGAGAAGAGAGGCAGAGGAAGAGGAAAGAGGTAAATAATTTATTTTTAGATTCATTATTAGTCGTCATCATATAAACCTTACCACAATCATCATCATCATCTCAGCCATAGGACGTCCACTGTTGAACATAGGCGTCCCCCAATACTTTCCATGTTGATCGATTGGTAGCGCCCTGCGTCCAGCGCTTCCCTGCTACCTTTACGATGTCGTCGGTCCACCTTGTAGGTGGATGTCCCACGCCGCGTTTTCCGGTACGCGGCCTCCACTCCAGAACCTTGCTGCCCCATCGGCCGTCAGTTCTGCGTACCTACTATGTGCCCTGCCCATTGCCACTTCAGCTTGCTAATCCGTCGGGCTATGTCAGCGACTTTAGTTCGTTTACGGATCTCCTCATTTCTGATTCGAGCTCGCAAAGAAACACCAAGCATAGCCCTCTCCATAGCACGCTGTGCAACTTTGAGCTTCTGTATAAGGCCTATAGTGAGAGGCCACGTTTCCGAGCCATAAGTTATCACTGGTAACACACATTGGTTGTAGAAACCTTACCACAAACCTCAATTTTATTATGAATCTTATTGTTTGTTAACATAAAGACAAAGACTTCAAAATTCAAGGCAGAAATTCAACAATTTATAATGGCCTAATAAATAACTAGAGTCCAAAGTTATTTTGTCACGAGATTATTAGCATAATTTAATGTTTGTGTCCACAGGAGAGAGAGAGGCAAGACCGCGAAAGGAAAGAGAGGGAAAACAAGGAGAAGCGAGATAGAGGGGAGGAGGTTACCGAAGACGATAAGGACAAAGTGGCGGACACCAACGAGCCGGCAGGGGCCAGCGAGCAACCTATGGAGGGCGTTGAAGACGAACAACCCAAGGTAATGTTTGAGGTTTTACAGAGTGAAAGTTCAAGCAGGCNAAAGCAGGCAGAAAACGCAGGAACCTTCGAAGCAGGAAAGTTCTCGAGTGGCGACCACGGGCTGGAAGACGTAGCATGGGCAGGCCTCCTACTAGGTGGACCGACGATCTGGTAAAGGTCGCGGGAAGAGCCTGGATGCGGGCAGCGCAGGACCGTTCATTGTGGAAAACCTTGGGGGAGGCCTTTGTCCAGCAGTGGACGTCATTTGGCTGAAACGAACGAACGAACGGAGTGAAATAGTATAAGATTTTAAACTTTCGCGTTCCATTTCAACTAATATAGTAAGACATGGGTCTTAACGCGACGTTTATTAATGAGTTAAGACCCGTGTCTTACTATTTCAGAGTGAAATAGTGTTTTTCAGGTACTTTCCACGGTAGGTGTTAGGGTCCTAACGAATATTAGTAAAGCCCGGTCCGTGAGCACGTAGAATTTTGTCCAATGACCCTTAGCTACCCATCCTTATCGCTCGCGCGTAATTATATTGCTGTCGCGACTGGCACCTGGAGTGAGTGTGCGAGCGCGATAGCAACATAATTACGCGCGAGCGATAAGGATGGGTAGCTTGGGGTCATTGGACAAAATTCTACGTGCTCACGGACCAGACTATAGAAGAAATAGAAATGGTGGACTGTATTACAATAAGTGCTGTATTTCTCGCCTCCTATTTTACAAATTATCAACAGGGTATTGGGTAACAGCTGTCAATGCTAAGAAAAATAATGAAACACGTCACCTTTGAGATAAAAATAAACTACAACGAACTGTCCCACCCAAGACATTAACAGGGGGGCGCCACCGTCAATACCGGATCGCTGGTTCCGATTTTTGCCTAGTTGGAAAGAGTTGAACGATGGTAACGCCCCCGTATCAATGAATTTGGTAGGGCAGTTCAGTGTAGGTCATCTATAGCAAACGTGTCCACGCCGAAAACAGCCGAATGTTTTAGGCAGTTGCCATAGCGATCGTCATTTTGCTTACAGCGTTTGTCTGTGGAAAAGATTTATTACATTTTTAACAATCAGCACAAAACCGAGCTATCGTGTGCTTTTTTTTATCCACAATAAGGAACTTAGCCTGTATCTCACCTGATGGTAAGTGATGATCAGGCCAAAGCACAGTGTTTTATTATGCCTTAGAAGCGGACATCAATTTTTTAATAATTCAATCGTTAGATATTACTATTATGTATAAAATTGATGAAGGAACTAGTAGTTGTATTTGCTTAGTTTCGAAGAAATATTAGATTTTGTGATTTTATAAAGAAAAAGTTTTAGAAGCATATTTTCTAAAAAAAATTACATGAAGTCAAAATTTTGTAATAACGAGCTTCACCCGGAATCCTCAACCATGGAGGAACCGGCTATCTTACCTCTAACTGCCGGAACACACCATTGCTGTTAACATTGTGTTTTGTCAACTAACGAACAATCTTTCAGTCTCATTCACTTCACAGGTTCCATTCCATAATGCGTAGATCTCATGGTTTATTATTGCCACAGGAGAACGGCGAGGGCGTCAAGCCAGAAGCCAAGGCCGAGCCCACTGTGCCTGAGCCCGAGGCCGCGAAAGACGAGCCTATGGAGGCGGCGCCGGCTGACCTCACCGCGCAGATAGACAGCCTGGACAAGGAGCTCAGCGAAGAGCTCAAGAAGGAGCTCACTGGTCAGTATACTCTTATGTACAGTCACGGAATGAAAAGGTTCGTCAGTTTTCAAATTGATTCTTTCAACGACTCGCGAGCACATATTACCTTTTGAAACTATGTTACAGAATAATCTCGAGTTAGAGAAAATAATCTTTAACTGATCGCCAGTAAAGTTCAAAATTATTCAGATCAAAGTTGTTTGACGATTTATCTTGTCAAGAAGATTATTATGATTGATAAACTAAAACCTTCTTGTTGGTTCAACCTGCCATTATTATTTCTTTTAAATAAAAAAAAACTATTGTCAATTGGTCAATGTCATCATTGCATTGCACTGATGGGATAGAAAAATAAACAAGCAAAACCTTATTTATTCGTTAGCAAACGTCATATTTATTTAAATGTTAGCAGCACTGTTTCTTGTACTGTTATGTTGGCAGGTTTGACTCTTACAGTACCTAGTGCAAGCGAAAACCGACACTAAGGTGACGAACCTTTTCATTCCGCGACTGTACCATCGGCAACAGTGTTAACTTTTCATTGCCTGTCATGTCGTCTCGTTCTATTTATTGCAAAGAATCACCATTTGATGAGTGAGAGCGAGAGCAAACACAGAAATGGATAGTTAACAGTGTGGCCGTGTGTACCTACGATAAAGGCTAATTTACACGTGTTATGTAGTTGAGTAGGTATAGCCTGACCAGGAACATAAAAACCCTGGCATAGAGGCGCGTCAATTGCATTTGATAGTGCAACACTGAGTACAGTCGTACCTGTGTTAAATTAATAGGCTAACTTTATGTATCAGGATTCAGGATTACGGGCCAATTTGATATTTTCATAAATTAACGAAAAAATATTATTATAGGTAACCTGATTTAAATAAATTAAATGAAACCATCAATCGAGCTAGTAGAATTTATTTTATTATTCATCAATAATCAAATTCAGAACTTGAATANATCGGCAACAGTGTTAACTGCCCATTGTCGGTCATGTCGTCTCGTTCTGTCGCAAAGAATCACCATTTAATGAGAGCGAGAGCGCAAACGGAAATTGATAGTTAACACTGTGGCCGTCTGAACAGTCATGTACACATCAGAGAAAATGTATATTTTCGAATAAAATAGCATTTGGTAAATTAGAGAGGGTTGTGCTCCTGCAGTAAAGACTAAATTAACTTATGATGATGAATAGATAGAATGTAATCAACGTCTATGTTTAATCTTGTGTAAAGCCCGGTCGCCGAGCACGTAGAATTTCGTCCAATGACCCCAAATTCGCACACTCACCGCGGCCGCCCGTCGCGATAAGGATGGGTAGCTTGGGGTCATTGGACGAAATTCTACGTGCTCGGCGACCGGACTTTAGTACGGAACCATTCAGAGTCCGAATCGTACTTGGCTATATTAACTGACTCAAATACCCATTCCAGGTACCGTCTTCTCTGTCCCCACAAGGACATCGACCGGCGCAACATCAAGGCGACGTGCAGCAAGATACTAGCAAAACATCTGAAAGACCCCGACAAATACCAGTTCGGGGCTACCAAGATATTCTTCAGGGCTGGCCAGGTAAACTTGTTGGGGGGAACTTTTGGATCGAAGGTGTTGGGTTCTAAATTAAGATGGGGCAAACATCAACTTCAGCATATAGCAGTTCGCTGTTGGAATTTAGCGCTCACCAGTTGGTGCCACTGTCTTCGCTACTAGCAAGTGACAGGACCTTACTCTACAGTGGTAGGAGGACTATCGCATTTGCACTCATCAAGATGGCGCCACTGTAGAGTAAGGTCCTGTCAATCGCCAGGGGTGCCAACTGTTAAGTATAAAAACGATAGCCCTCATTGACCTCCGAAATCTGAACCATTTTACCTCAACAGTAAGGGCTTGCTACCACGGAGACAACCTGTTTTTTTTTGCAGGACCTATTTTTTGCAGTTTTTTGAGTCGATGAAGCACATGATTTCGTGCTCTGAGCTGCGTGCTCAAAAAACTGCACGCAGGAAGATTAATAGACGTAGCCCACTTATCAACCCGGAAAGGAATCGTAACCGTATCAACTCGAGGCGGTCAGTATTCTTTGTACGAAACGCAAACTGATCCGCACCGTAACGTAAACGCCTCGTCTCGCGGTTGACAGCTCGCGAAAGGCGCTGGCAGCTCACGAAAAGCCACCGAATCGCTTGATCCCTTCCCGAGTTGATAAGTCTGCTATGACCTTTTAAACTGTAGAATCAATACTTTTTATTCAAGAAAAAAAATATCATTCTGTATAGAATTAGCTTTAAAACTATTTCTTTCTACAGGTGGCGTATTTAGAGAAGATTCGCGCGGACATCCAACGCCTATACTGCGTTAGGGTTCAAAGTTGCGTGCGCAGATTCATAGCGAGGAAGAAGTATCTCCGTCTCATGTCTGCTTTGAAGGGACTACAGGCGCGAGCGAGAGGGTTCCTGGCTAGACGGTGAGTGTACCTTATGTGTGCAGGGTTCAAAGTTGGTTAGTTGTGTGTCAATCAACCTATTGAATCGAGTTTTGTTTTGAGTTTTGTTCTGTATAGCCTGACCAGGAACATAAAAACCCTCGCCATGTTGCGGAAAACTAATGGTACTAATTTCTTTTAATGGCAACAGTAACTGAAAACTTCATTGACATGTCACCTTGCATGTCAGTCTATTGCTGTCAAAGTATAAACAAACTTTATTTTAAATGTGCGCAATTTAATTTGTGAATTAAATTGCTAAAATCTTTTTATAGCCGTGAAAGAAAAGTGGTTCACAATGTGTTAAAGTATTTGTCGAAGAGAAATACTAAGGGTTCGGACAATATTTTCATTGAATAATGTTTTCGACAAAGGTTGTCAAATTGACTGACATGTTTATCGTATAGTACAGTCCACTATGAAAATTAGCTGCGGTTTGTTTCAACTGTTAGAATATGCATAATCTGTGATGTAAAGTTGGCAACACTGCCTATCTGTCAGTCGTGTGCAAGAAAATAAAAAGTGAGCTATGGCGTCTTGAAAGTCTTCGTTTTATTTTATAAAGAAAGTTCATCATTAATACTAAAATCAACTACCTATTTTAAAGTTTTTTGTCACTTTCTAAGTGTTGAATTTTATGGAATTGGGAATGAAGTACCGAGTTTGAAGCGTTCATGAGCAGACATTGCAGTTGAATATTGAAGTTCTGAATTTGATTATTGATGAATAATAAAATAAATCCTACTAACTCGATTGATGGTTTCATTTAATTTATTTAAACCAGGTTACCTATAATAATATTTTTTCGTTAATTTATGAAAATATCTATAGGTAAAAAGATTGTGAGACATGTAGAGGCTCCTTAAGAGCAAAATGACGATTTGTAAGAACTATTTATTAGTCTAAACAAATAAAGAAATTTTGACTTTTGACTTTTATCAAATTAGCCCGTAATCCTGAATCCTGATACATAAAGTTAGCCTATTAATTTAACACAGGTACGACTGTACTCAGTGTTGCACTATCAAATGCAATTGACGCGCCTCTATGCCAGGGTTTATATGTTCCTGGTCAGGCTATAATGTCAATATGTATCAAGATGTTTGTCAACATTTTGAAGTATGACCTTTTCCCAAACACATACGAAACATTTGCATCTTATTTGTACAAATATTTACCCACACATAGTTACAGCTTGCACCGTACTATCGGCAAAAGTGTTAACTTCCCATTGCCGGTCATGTCGTCTCGTTCTATCGCAAAGAATCACCATTTGATAAGAGCAAGAGCAAAAACGGAAATGGATAGTTAACACTGTGGCCGTGTGTACGTTTTAAAAATATGTATCTTCATTCGTGTTTGTAATACACACCTTAGGCTGAGTTGTTTCAACTGTAACCTATGACCATAACGATGTTTTTTGTATAGAATTTGACGGACTTTTGTTTGACGTTTGTTAAAGTTAAATAAGTTGGAGCAACCCAGCCTTAATCAGTCAGCTAAAATGATTATTAAACGTATATTTCCTTCCAGCAAAGCGCAAGAGGTCCGCCGCAATCGAGCCGCTGTCAAGATACAGCGCAGCGTCCGCGGCTGGCTAGCTCGTTCCAAGTACCAGCGGCTGAGGCGGCTGGCGATAGGGCTCCAGGCCAGAGCCCGGGGGCTCCTCGCGAGAAGATTGTATAAGGACAAGAGGCGGGTCAAGGCGGTAAGTGAGCCCTAGTGTATAAACTTTACACTATAAAGAAACCCGTCGTTAGAGCTCAAAGTCGCCTGCATAGGTAGCACATTGATATAGGGAAAGTGTACCTTATGTCTACTAAGGTAGAGCCCAAAGTCGCTGGAATAGACAGTAGTTTGCTAGTAGAAAATTTAACCTTATGGACTACAAATACCAGCGGCTTAGACGGCTGGCGATAGAGCTCCAAGCGAGAAGATTGTATAAGGACAAAGGCGAGTCATGGCGGTGAGTGAGCCCTAGTATGTGAATAAGTCCGTGTCGTTAGAGATCAAAATCGCCTGTACAGTCACTATCTGGCAAGAAGGAAAGTATGCCTTATGTCTACTAGGATAAAGCCCAAAGTCGCTTGTGTAGGTAGCACTTAGCTAGTAGGAAAGTGAACTTTATGTGCTCAAAGTACCAGCGGCTGAGACGGCTGGCGATAGGGCTCCAAGCGCGAACCCGGAGGCTCCTGGCAAGAAGATTTTATAAGAACAAGAGGCTGGTCAAGGCGGATAAGTGTCGTTAGAGTTCAAATTCGCCTGCATATTTATTCATTCATATTCATATAGAGAAGTGAAGAAAAGTGTGTCTTATTTCTACTAAAATAGAGCCCAAAGTCGCTGGCATAGAAAGCATCTCGCTAGAAGGAAATTGAACCGTATGTACTCTAAGTACCGGTGACTGCGGTGGCTTGCCATAGGGCTGTATTAAATACTTAAATAATATCAAACTAAAAACCTAATTAATGGAAAAAATACTTATTACCATACTTGTTCCCAGGTCTTGACGATACAACGCTACGCTCGCGGCTATCTCGCTCGCAAACGCGTGAAGAAGATGAGACGGCAGATCGTCATAGCGCAGGCATCTGTGAGTGTTTGACCCCACCAATCAACTGATGTACTTTTTAAGAACTTTCAAAACGAGACTTTCCCATAGTTTTTGTAGAGCAATACAAGCCGGTGACGTCACCATTTAGCCAACTCAATTGACTAATTTTTACCAATTACAAAGCAACCAAAAATCTTAATTTACTTTTGTTTTGAAAGTAATTGAGTTTGTATGACCTAAATGAAGAGCGTTTAAAAAAAAGTTGTGCTGTAGAAGAAGAATTTTTACACTTTTGTTTATTATTATTTATTTCATTAGTGTCGACACCGCCTTCCCCTTCATTTGTTTTAAGTAACTGTCCTCTCTATAGGTTGTCTGGAAGAGATCGCTTCATAGCGATAAGACCGCCTAATTGTACCTTATGTGTTCCTTTTCTTTCTGTTTCTTTTTATGTGGTGTACAATAAAGAGTATTTATTATTATTATTATAGAATTATTGGTTATTGGTGTCAAATCCTCAATTTCATCTGAATTGGTCTCACTGACTCATTGGGTTTTTGGCGGTCAAGTTGTAGATCAAAAAGTGTTTGACAGTGTTTTTTTGACACACAGAAAATACATTTTTAATGGTGATAAAATAAAGGTTAATTTATTTTTTCATCCAGATCCGCCGCTTCCTAGCCCGCCGCCAGTACAAGCGCCTACGCATCGAAGCTCGCAGCCTCGACCACGTGAAGTCCCTCAACAAGGGCCTGGAGAACAAGATCATCAGCCTGCAGCAGAAGCTCGGCGCGGCGCTCGAGCGGGCCAAGGGCATCGACCCTCTCGCGCTGCAGGTGGCTGAGCTGAGGTCAGTACAGCAGCACGAGGACTCGACCCACTTAACACACTCCCACTTGAGACACTGACGACTCGACCCGCTTGAGACACTGAGGACTCGACCTGCTTAAGACTATAAGAAATCGACCAGATTTAGACATTAAGAATCGACCCACTTAAGTCACTAAGGAGTAGACCCACTTAAGACACTTGGTAATCTACCCACTTAAGACACTAAGGATTCGACCCATTTAAGACACTAAAGACACGACCCATTTAAGACACTAAAAAGAATCGACCTATTTAAGATACTAAGGAATCGACCCATTTAAGACACTAAGGAGTCGACCCGCTTAAGACACTTGTATTCGACCCACTTAAGACACTAAGGAAACGACCCATTTAAGACACTAAAAAGAATCGGCCCATTTAAGACACTAAGGATTCGATCCATTTAAGACACTAAAGAAACGACCCACTTAAGACACTAAGGATTCGACCCACTTAACACACTCCCACTTGAGACACTAAGCAGCCTCGACCACGTGAAGTCCCTCAACAAGGGCCTGGAGAACAAGATCATCAGCCTGCAGCAGAAGCTCGGCGCGGCGCTCGAGCGGGCCAAGGGCATCGACCCTCTCGCGCTGCAGGTGGCTGAGCTGAGGTCAGTACAGCAGCACGAGGACTCGACCCACTTAACACACTCCCACTTGAGACACTAAGCAGCCTCGACCAGATTTAGTCACTAGGACTCGACCCATTTAAGACACCAGGCAATCGACCCATTTCAGACACTTGGGACTCGACCCACTTAAAACACTTAGGAGTCGACCCACTTAAGACACTAAGGAGTCGACCCGCTTAAGACACTTGGTCTCGACCTGCTTAAGATACTTAGTCTCGACCCGCTTGAGACACTTAGGAATCGACCCACAAAAGACACTTAGAAATCGACCCACTAAAGACACTGAGGAAACGAACCATATAAGACACTAAAAAGAATCGACCCATTTAGACACTAAGGAGTCGACCCATTTAAGACACTTAGGAGTCGATCCACTTAAGACACTAAGGAATCGACCCATTTAAGAAACCAAGTATAATTGACTCATTTAAGACACTGAAAGGCGACCCACTTGAGATAATTGAAAATCGACCTACTTTGAGACTTTTCACTTTTAATAGATTCCAAGGTTTTCACAAAATGTCTATTGTATTTATTTGTCCACAGAGCAAAACTGGAAGGCCTCAAACTGGTAGAAATCGAAGTCAAAACCCTGAAAGTGGACAGGGTAGAAAAGGACAACCTGATCGAGTCGCTGAAGGCTGAACTAGCGCAAGAGCGAGACAGCAACAAGGTCATGGTGGAGCAGATGGAGGAAATGAAACGGAAGTATAAGAAAGAGAAGGAAGATTTGGAAATGGAGAGTGAAAAGTTAGCGAATGAGTTGAGAAGCAACAAGGAACATTACGAGCTGGCTATAGAAGGTACATTTTTATATTTTAAGCTAAAGCCCGGTCCGTGAGCACATAGAATTTTGTCCAATGACCCCTAGCTACCCATCCTTATCCCTCGCGCGTAATTATATTGCTGTCGCGACTGTGCGACTGGCACCCGCAGTGAGTGTGCGAGCGCGATAGCAACATAATTACGCGCGAGCGATAAGGATGGGTAGCTTGGGGTCATTGGACAAAATTCTACGTACTCACGGACCAGACTATATCTTAAACCTCTGCTATATGAATAAAGGTAGTTGCACACTTATCAACCTGGAAAGGGATCGTAACCGTATCAACTCGAGGCGGTCAGTATTCTTTGTATGAAACTCCATACTGCAACGCACACTTATCCGCACCGTAACGTAAACGCTTTGCCTCGCGGTTGACAGTGCGCGAAAGACGATACCGTGTTGATCACTTTCCGAGTTGATAAGTCAGCTATGACCTTAACACTGTTTTAAAATCATTGCAGTTGATCTCTAAAAACAGGGTTAGTTTTGAAATCAATAAATAGAAAAATTGAAATCACGAGTTGTGACGTCATAGCCATACAAAATTTATGGGATCGTCAGAGACTGGGAGAGTCATTTTTCGAATGCTAATAAAAAGTACCTACGTCAATCTAAAGAGTATAACTCAAAGGTGACTGACTGACTGACATAGAGATCTTTAAACGCACAGCCCAAACCACTGGACGGATCGGGCTGAAATTTGGCATGCAGGTAGATGTTATGACGTAGGCATCCGCTAAGAAAGGATTTTACGAAACTCCACCCCTAAGGGGGTAAAACCGGATCCACGCGTACGAAGTCGCGGGCGGCCGCTAGTTGATTATATTATTGTAGAGATTCCAAACTAATATATCGATCGTCAGATTCACAATATTTAGGAAGTACCGCACACCAAGCAAAGTCCTTATCAACGCGTATCTGGGTACAAATTAATTTGATAAGATATTGATAATATTGATGCTAAATAATTAGATCAATCTATCACGCATACCACCTAGACCTATTTTTATTGGTTTTTGCATACTAAACACTATTTTGTGTAAAATGTAGGCCTATAGCGTTTAGTGTTTGCTTTTAATCTATGGAGACATACTATTCTGATTACACAGGATTGTTATTGTGAAATTACAGTGTAAATAAGTGGTGTGTTTTTAATTTTTGTGTTATAGGTTATCCATACAAAAAGGCATAAAGACTTATCAGTTAGCATTTTTTTGTGATAATTTCATATGACAAAGTCTTGTTTATAACTTTTTTTCTAAGATATAGCTTAGAACCTGAAAACTATGAATTTTACTATCCTAGACAGCATTTCACTTAACATCAGGTGCAATTGCGGTCAAATACCTGCCTTGTTCTGCATAAAAAAATAATCCAACCAGTGAAGGTCAAGTTTGTCCCGGGGGAAAGTTAAACTGTCATTGGACCCGCAACGAAATTAATCAGAAGAACATAGGAGTTCGAAGTTAAGGTTCGACTTCCAACCAGTGTACAGTGGTATTCTCTCCAATTCATAGACAATGGTAGTGCCTCCCGAAACTCCAGAAATTATAATAACGGAATCACCTGTTCCCCCTGTAAAAGATACCTATGTGTGGAACAAGGAGTTTGAAAACAGGGCCAGGTTTTGGAAAGGTAATTAAGAAATAAAGGTGTAGAAAAACTTTAGTCGAATGGTGTAATTATTCTTACTCTTCCCGCGGATGTCGTAAAGCAAATTTAGGGATAAATATGCGAGCATCAGGCCTCCCCAACCCGTCTGGCCAGCGTGGGGAGTGTAGGACAAATCCTCCATTTGCCTCTGGTACATTAGAGGGTCGTGCTCCTGCAATGGAGACTAAATGACCTGATGATTATAGACATTTTTTGTGTTGTAATTACTTTATCCTAAGGTGAAAGATGTCATTAGTTACCTACTAGGATGAGTTGCACCATCTTATTTTAACTAAGACTAACGATATTCGGTGCTTTTGTGAAATAGACAGGGATAGAGTTAAAGTAAGATGGTGCAATCCACCCTAAGTTTAGCCCGCGACTTTTCCCGACATTCACAGAAGTTGACAGAAAACCAGCGAGACTCACGTCCAAAAACACTTTTTCTTATTAAAAGCATACACAGTTCTATGATTTTCCTCTTCAGTATTTTTTATCCCTTATTCAATAGTCAATATCTTTATTGCATTCCATGTTGTACATAAGGTCTTACACAATCTATTGTCTCAAACATTCAATGACACAGTTGGACTGTTGTCGCCATAGTTATGCTTTTCTTTATTACATTACAAACTAGCGGCCGCCCGCGAATTGGTACGCGTGGATCCAGTTTTTCCCCCATAGGGGTGGAGTTTCGAAAAATCCTTTCTTAGCGGATGCCTACGTCATAACATCTACCTGCATGACAAATATCAGCCCGATCCGTCCAGTGGTTTGGGCTGTGCGTTGATAGATCACTATGTCAGTCAGTCAGTCACCTTTGAGTTATATATATTTAGATTTACAAATGAATGTGATCTTTTCTTCCAGACCGAGACAAGCAGCACGAGCTAGAGAAGAAAGCTCTCAGCGCAGAACTAGAGGCAGAAAGGCAGAGCCGGCAGAAACTGCTGTCTTCGCAGTACGAACTGCAAGAGCGGTTGGACTCCTTGCAACGGTATGTGGAAGTATATTGTTTTTTGAAAGAAATATTTTAACTTCATAATTAGACTAGCTTTTGCCCGCGGCTTCACCCGCGTGAAATTTAGTGCCACAGATTCACATGAATTATAGCCTATACGTTAATCTGGGTTACAAATAATAATACTGTAAAGTTTCAACAAAATACGTTCAGTAGTTTTTGCGTGAAAGAGTAACAAACATCCACACAAACTTTCACCTTTATAATATTAGTAGGATTAACTGATCCAGTTGTAAAGTCTGATGCAGAATGTGCACTTCGCAAAATACGCCCTTTTCTATGGTAAGTTTATAGAAAACTCTTCAGCCTTTATATTTGCACAGAAAGTGCGCATTTTGCGAAGTGCACATTCTGCTACAGACCCCCAGTTAAACTAAATATGATTATGTTAGGACTTAGAAGTGAGTTCACCCCAATAGTTCAAGATTCGACGGGGTTCTAACTATCGACCCGAGAATCGCCTCTACTTTTTGATTTAATTTCTAGCTCGAAATTTTATGAAAAATTACATTTCAATCAATCGTAGAGAGATTAAAATGTTGAAGAACAAAAATATTCTTTATTATGTGGGCCTCACTGTTGTATTTTTTTGTTACAGAGCCCCACCACCAAAAGAACACAGACGCTCTCTGTCGGACGCAAGCACCAACTCACAGCAAGAAACTACCGTTGAAGATGTGAGTTACAACACTTTTTCGTAATCCGTACTTTCCAGTCTTAAAGACTTTTTAAAAGGCCAGTCTCTACAGAAGGCAGGAGCACGACTCTCTAATTTACCTGCACTCTTCTCATGGATGTCGTAAGAGGCGACTAAGAGACACAGGACCATCAGGCCTCTCCAGCCCGTCCGGCCAGCGTAGGGAGTGTAGGCCAAATCCTCCATTTGTCCCTGGTAAATTGGAGAGCGTCATTATCCTGCAGTGACCTCCTGTAGAGACTTTAAATAAAAAGAATATCAGTAACTAGCGGCCGCCCGCGACTTCGTACGCGTGGATCCCGTTTTACCCCCTTAGGTGTGGAGTTTCGTAAAATCCTTTCTTAGCGGATGCCTACGTCATAACCTGATCCGTCCAGCGGTTTGGGCTGTGCGCTGATAGATCACTACGTCAGTCAGTCAGTCACCTTTGAGTTATTGTATATTTAGATTTGCATTGCTAAAAATACTAATAGTCCCGTTACCAATAGTATAGTATTAGTAATAAATTTAAAGATATAGTTAAAGATCACATGCTTAACCCTTAAATGCATAGTGTTGCCATATGTCTACGAAGTACTTTTTTAATTATAAAAAGTAACACATTTTATAAGCGTTTCTGAACGTATGCTAATATCATAGAAAACATCATAATAAAAATAAAAAAAACGCAAATGAAGGTAGATTTGAAAAAAANTCAAAACGTATTTAAGTTTTGAAGCTCTTGTTAACTATGAAACTGCTTGTCTAAAGTATCAAGTGACAAGCCCAGCCCACCAACTTACCCGGAAAATGTAGTAGTTAAATACTTAATACTTGTAAATCAGTCTTATGAATCGCCCGGATGTCCGCTCTGGGCTTCCGAATGACATTCTGGCATTGGCATTCTGAATGTTATATCATTTGTATTTATGTAGTCTTTAATTTTTTCAGATGAAGAAATAAAGGAAGTGACCGAAGAGCAAATCCTCAAAGGGCAGGTCCTATTAGACAAAAGGATCAAGTTTGTCATTCGGTAAGTTGGTTTATAATTTTTATCATATAAGTTCAGTTGGTAAATATTAAATGATTATTAGATTACAATCGTGGTTGCCATTTGTCTTACGACTGTGACTCGACGAATACTCCTGAGTGTGTCGCGCAGTACTGTTCACATATTTGCAAAGCGCGAGGTTCGTTAGATGAATAGCGAACGCACTGTTTACATATCGCACGTTCATAATCAAACCGTCACTATACAAAAAAGTCGATTTTTCAGGAAAAGCATTTGAAATACTCAAATTTTAAAACCTTTGCAAAGTGTGCAAAATGTTCTTAAATGTTTTGTTTTTTGTTGAATACCAGTAGTGGCTTGTTTGGCTTTTATGGGAATATAATTATCTTTCAAATTATCATAATGGTTTATTTAATATTTAATTTTTTCCCTAAAAATAGTGTCACTTTTCCACTAAAATTGAGACAGTGACAGTTTTCAATTAAAAACATGTTAATGTTGTATTATTAATTCCGGTAGAAATGTCACTATTTTCATATAAATTTGACGATGAAAGATTAAAAAATGATTATTATTAAATAAAACTAACATAGAAAAATCAGTAATTTTAATGAACTTAAAACTTTATAATTTGGATTAAGTGGTACCTATGGTAACAGTAATAAATGTAAATTCTCGATCAGAAATAAATACGTTACACACATGAAATTACTATAAAATTACATCATTAGCACGTCACTACCTTGTTTAATATACCACGCAATCTTGTATACCCATTCTTATAAGATACACCATACAAGAATGCATGGTAAATTCAGTGAACTGCTCCTGAATCGAATGTACCTACTACTACTATTTCTATTTATTTATATTAACCGGCAGACAGTGGTGACTGAGTTTGTTGCGGCGCTTCTTCTCAGCACTTGCCAAATGTTGGTCTCGAAGCGCTGGTAGGGTAAAAAGATTATGAGACATGTAGAGGCTCCTTAAGAGCAAAATGACGATTTGTAAGAACTATTTATTAGTCCAAACAAATAAAGAAATTTTGACTTTGACTTTGACTTTACCTCTCGTACTCGTACTAAGCTAAATATGCTTGTGTCACGAGTGGGTTCACCACAATATTCGGGCAGCGTCGGGGTTTGAACCAGCATTTCTCGAATCTCGAGACGGCCAGTCCGAAACCTTCATCTATCAGCTATTGTTCCTAATGACCTGAAGATAAATAAAATACTTCTACGTATATTAATCAAATCATTTGTTGAACAGGACTACGGGTACGGGTCGGTCCGTTCCGTGGAGACCACGAGACCGGCGCTGGAAGCTGTCAACTGGTCCGCCGGCTCGCACAACGGGCCCAGTCCGGTAAGTGATTTGTAAATCTTTATGTCCATTTTCACCATCAATCTTAAGTGTTAAGTGACCCCTATGAAAACAAAATTACTGCTATGTGTTAAAATGCCATCACTTAAACATTAGGGATTGATGATGACAGCGGTCATTGAGGTTACATCTTTAGGAGTTGCTTAAGACATCGTCATCATTATACGTCCAGACGATACGTCCATCGCTGAACATAGGCCTCCTCCAATGATCTTCAGATTGGCCGGTTGGAAGCGCCATTCCTGCATGTTTACGGGGTCATCTGTCCCCCTTGTGATATTATAATAAGGCCTGAAACCTATGTAATTAAACAAATAAATAAAATAAATTGTGTGACATGGTTTGCAATTAATAAAAGACACTGGAAAACGAAATCGAAAGGTCTGAGATAGGTTATTATTAGACTATTGAAGTAGTTTCTCAAACTATCGACAAAATAGATATAATAACAAAATCCTCATTCATAACTTTACCGAGATGCATTTTATCGTGATATCACATGACGTAGGCAATTTAGCATGCTCTAATTGCTCAATATGAGCTATCTGTAATATATTTTATTACTAGCTTTCCACCCGCGGCTTCGCCCGCGTGGAATTTTGTCTGTCACAGAAAAACTTTATCGCGCGCGTCCCTGTTTCAAAAACCGGGATAAAAACTATCCTATGTCCTTTCCCGGTACTCAAACTATCTCCATACTAAATTTCATCAAAATCGGTTCAGTGGTTTAAGCGTGAAAGTGAGACAGACAGACAGAGCTACTTTCGCAGTTATAATATTTAGTATAGATGTTGCAGATTAGTATTCTGAAAACTGTACACAGAAATAGCTATAAAAATATTTTATTCTATTCTTATGGGCTCCCGGACTTTCAGTTAAATGAACCCCTATTTTTAAGTATTGTTATAAGTTAAGTGTATTGTCGATGATACTGAATAACCATTTCTTCTTTATTTCTTTCAAGTCTTTCTATTTGAATTGAAATCCTTCAACAGATCGCAGACGCCGGCTTAGTCCTTCGCATGCAGAATAGAATATCGGCGCTTCAGAGCGAGTTATCCCGCACTGCCAAACGAGCCAACGATTTGGAGGAACGACTCATGAGTGAGTAGAATGATAGGATATATTTTATATCTTTGTCTTTCATATTTGTGTAAGAGAGAAAGAGCATAAGAAAATGAATGGAACTAAAAACAACATATTCTAGATTTATAAAGAGCGAGTGAGAGGGAGAGAGTAAATCAACCTAAACTATTTTAAAACGATAGTAAATCATGCACCAAAGGGGATAAAGCAGTAGCATACGTCACAGGTGCCATAATGAATTCAAGGCTGGTAGCACATTTATCAACCCGGAAAGGGGTTGTAACCGTATCAACGCGAGGCGCACACCTATCCGCACCGTAACGTAAACGCCTCGCCTCACGGTTAACAGCGCGCGAAACGCGATGACAGCTCGCGAAACGCGATGACAGCTCGCGAAACGCGATGACAGCGCGCGAAACGCGATGACAGCTCGCGAAACGCGATGACAGCGCGCGAAACGCGATGACAGCTCGCGAAACGCGATGACAGCGCGCGAAACGCGATGACAGTTCGCGAAACGCGATGACAGCTCGCTAAAGGGGATACGGTGTTGATCCCTATCCGAGTTGATAAGTCTGCTATGACCTTTTTTGTCCGTAGCTGTGTTACAGTTTTTAATCTGTTTTTGTTACTAAAACCTTCAATATTGTGAACAGCCCGCCTCTCATCGCCTCCCACCAACCCCAACATCGACAGATTCAAGGTTGAAGAGCTGGAGATTGAGAACAAGAAGCTGCGAGAACACCTGGACCGTCTGAGAGCTGCTGGAGACAGCATCCTGGTCTCCAAGGAAGTTATTTGTAAGTATCCCATCATCATCATCATCATCATTTCAGCCACAGGACACTGGTGAACATAAGAGAGAAGTGGCACTGAGAGAATCATTGAATCGCCTTCCCGAAATCTTTATAAGGTTCTATCCACCATGTGTGTAAGGAATTTCAGTACCAACATTGAGAAAACCATGTGATTCCAGCAGAGTAGAATCAGTCATTCTTTGTCGTCAGAAGCTGATAAAGGACAAATATGGAAACGTCAGGTCTTCCTAATGCATGCGACCAGCGTGAGTAGTGATTCAAGGTGGAAGACCTGGAGATTGCGAACAAAAGCTCAGGGAACACCTGGACCGTCTGAGAGCTGCTGGAGACAGCATCCTGGTCTCTAAGGAAGTTATTTGTGAGTATACCATCACCCACAGGACACTGGCGAACATAGGTCTCCCCCAATGATATCCAGATTGACTGGTTGACAGTAGCCTGTATATGTATTACGGAAATTGTAGCACCAGTGTTAAAAACCTGTTTGGTTCCAAAAGAGTAAAATAGCATACCCAATTTTCAGCAGTATAAGTTATACTGCTTTTACTAATTGAGAAAGCCGTATAGTTTCAGCAGATTAGAATGCATCCCTCTTCCCGTGTCCATCGTAAAAGGTAAGGTATTGACGTATTGTAAAAAAGTTGTGTGGCTCCAGCAAAGTAGAATAGGTCCATCCCCACTCTTCTGTAGCATGAAATTGCAGTACCATTGAGCAAGCTGTGTGAGAGTTGAATCCTGTGGCTGTAGTGAAAGTGCCTAGGGTCTAATACAGGACCATCAGGCCTCCCCAACCTGTATGGGAAGAAGCTCAGGGAACACCTGGACCGTCTGAGAGCTGCTGGAGACAGCATCCTGGTCTCTAAGGAAGTTATTTGTAAGTATACGGGACTATTCCCACCTCTCGTTCCCACCGCTGCAACTCCTGTGTAGCCAGGATCTACAGCTTGACCACCAGTAACCGAACCAGTGACGGTAAAGTCTATCCCGGGGGAATGTTAAACTGCCATTGGACCCGTAGCGAAATTAATCAGAAGAACATAGGAGTTCGAAGTTAAGGTATTTTCAGTATCTCAACATTTACAGGATGTCCACTACTGGACAAAAGCCTTCCTATGCATTTCTACAACATCCAGGCGCTTCCCGCGACCTTCATCAGATCATCGGTCCATCGAGCGGGAGGTCGGCATACACTTCGATTTACGGTCTGTGGTCGCCACTCAAGAACTGCTCCTATGTTCTACGAGCTATGTGCCCCGTCTACTGCTACTTAATTTTACCTTTGTCGGCCGTTTGGTGTAGTGGTTCGAAATGGACTACTATTCCGGAGGTAGCGGGTTCGATTCCCGCACAGTACAAACATTTGTGTGCATGAACATATTTGTTTGTATTGGACTGTGTGTTTTCTATGTATAATAAGTATGTATTTCCAAAAAAAAAAGTATTTAAGTATGTTTATATCCGTTGTCTAGTACCCATAGTACAAGCTTTGCTTAGTTTGGGACTAGAAGCGCAGTGTAAAATGTCTAAGGATATTTATTATTTATTTATTATTATTATTTACCTTGTTTGGGTCTGCTAATTTAGAGGATATCGTGCTCCTTTGGAAAAGACCTTATTAAAATGTTGTACTATAAGTAGGTCAGGTCACGACATTTTTAGTCGTGACGTCATAATTAAATACAGAAAAATTCTGCAAAATATAATATTTAATAGAGGTTTTCGACTTTAATCCGTAATATCTTATATTTACAGCACAACTTGGCGTGATGCAGCAAGAACTGGACAGAAGGAGGGATGAGTGCATCCAACTAAAGAGTGTTTTGTCTAACCAGGTATGTTTCGGCCTATCTATCAACCTATGTTCTAAAGCCTGGTCTGTGAGCACGTAGAATTTTGTCCAATGACCCCAAGCTACCCATCCTTATCGCTCGCGCGTGATTATGTTGCTGTCCCGCTCGCACACTCACTGCGGGCGCGCGTCGCACAGTCGCGACAGCAATATAATTACGCGCGAGCGATAAGGATGGGTAGCTTGGGGTCATTTTACAAAATTCTATGTGCTCACGGACCAGGCTTTATCAATATCTATTTGATTAAAGAAAACCTGTGTAAAGTAATCATATCTGAGCTTATAGGGCAGAAGTACCACCTTAATTGGCCACCTTTATATTTAGCACCATTTTTGGCCATTTAATTTTTTTTACTAAGATGTAAAGCGTTATGAACTAACAAAATTATGTATTTTCATAATGTTTATAATTAGTTATATTAATTAGTCTCCAGTTGAAACTATTTAATTTATGAAATAATTTTAAATTTACAGTATTTTTGATAGTGATTGGCCAAAAATGGTACCGTGGCCATAAAAAGAGGCGTGGCCTTACTAACCGTATTAGTACAGTCAGTTGCAAAGTTTTATCTACAAATTAAGTTGTACCTATTTTTACTAGAAACCTATGAGAATTATGTACAGTCTACCTCATCATAGTTGACGTTATAGTGGCATAATCGCCCTTAATACAACTATCTAAGATACCAGATACCACAAAGTTTATATTACTCGCACTAAGCGTTTCGATGACTCTTTTATAATGCGAATAGCTAGGGACTGGAATTCGTTGCCTGCTGTCTTTCCCTTTTCAAGGCGAGAGTGAATGGACACTTACAGGGCAGATATGTACCCATCCTAGACTGCATCCTACCTAACATCAGGTGCGATTGTGGTCAAATAACTGCATTGTTATGCATAAAAAAAAAGATGTGTACAGACGACAGCCCATCAGACAGATATGTTTGTTGCAAAATAGCCCGTATTGCAACAAGATAAGATGCCACAGAGTTTAGCTTGAAGTACTGTTGACTATTACTATCGTTATTACACTTGAGTCCATAAAACCATAGTATAAAACTTTATCTCAATAAAGTCTTATCACCCATCAGTTCGTCTTGACATATCTGACAGGCTACACAGATAAAAAACCGAGTCAATAATAGTATGCTTAGGATATGGTTCGGTATAGTATTTTAGGAAATGTTAAGTGTCTATAATTTAAGTATTAATGCCACCTGGAGAGAAAGTGCTCTTAATATTGTAGATAGAACATTTTACTCAAAGAAAACATTGCTTCATTTATAAAAAAAAGTTTTCCGTTGTCATGAGGGAGCTATAAAAACAGTTGGGAATCTTGTTTTTAATATTTAGCCAATCGGCTTCTTGCACTATATTTTCTTTGGTTACGTAGCGGGTTCTAAGTCAATTTTTTAGGGGTTTCATATCCGTTCAAAGGATCTCCAATGTTTTATTTTCACACATCTCAGTAAATAAAGGTTCCTAAATTCTAACACTTCATGGACGACGCGTCAAAACAACAAACGGTCTGTAAATATTAACTGTTCGTTTAGTTTTCCAAGATTCAGTCTTATGTGTTATTAATTACAGTTACATTTTAATCAACAAGTTATTTTTCACCTTATTGTGTCTGTGTCCAGTTTGACAGTGATGGTTATTTGGCGTGAAACAGAATATAAACTTTATTGTTAGGGTTTTAAAGTTTATTTTTATTTGTTGAAGTTATGTATGAGTAATTGTTTTTAGACAAATCTCTTTTTAATCAAGGCTTTAATAGTGTTAACTGTTCAAATATAGTCCTAAAAGTGAATGAAAAGTGTAATTTATTACCAACAATTTGGTCCAAGAAGCGTATCAACAAAGCTATGTAACTAAAACTTCAAATTTTAAAGTGCTAAGTGGATTATTGTGTGTAGTTAAAAAGAAAGCATTGTCGATCAGTTTTAATGCTTTATTTTGGTATTTAATCGATTTTAGTTGAATCAATCTGTGTTACTTAAAAGTGTCCTCAAGCGTAGTGAAATGATGAATATTAAAAAAATCGTGACAGTTTGAATTAGAATGTGCACCGAGCGATTTGTTTGTATGGGATATCATTAAGAGATTTTGTTGCCAGTAAAAGTGTGAGAAGTGTTACCAACATTAAAAAAATGTCAGTACTGTCAATAGATGACGTGACAATGGCCAAAACGTTGTTTATAGATCTGCCTATGACAAGAAGCGGCCTGTTTTGTAGGTGTAAGGAGGTAAAATTACCTGTAAAAGACGAAGCACACTTATCAACCCGGAAACGGATCGTAACCGTATCAATTCGAGGCGGTCAGTATTTTTGTATGTTACGTACCGCAACCCACACTTATCCGCACCGTAACGTAAACGCCTCGCAGCGAAAGGCGATACGATGTTGATTCCTTTCCGGGTTGATTGTGCTATAAGCTTTATTGTTAAAAAAAACAGTTGTTGAATTTTCAGGAACTCATAATTATAAACGTCTTTTATTAAAAAACATTTATTAACATATCATCATCATCATCATCATTTTAGCCATAGGACGTCCACTGCTGAACATAGGCCTCTCCCAATGATTTCTATATTGACCTGTTGGTAGCGACCTGCATCCAGCGCTTTTCTGCTACCTTTATGAGGTCGTCAGTCCACTATGTATTACATACAAATAAATAATTTTTTAAATTTTTAAAAATCCTTAACCGAGTCAGTACTTCACTAATTCTTGGTGCACTGGTTTACGCTTTTATAATATTAGTAGTGAAGTAATTATTTTGCTTCTGACTGTACTAACGTTCTTGTAGGTATAGTCTGGTCTGCGAGCACGTAGAATTTTGTCCAACGACCCCAAGCTACCCATCCTTATCGCTCGCGCGTAATTATATTGCTGTCGCGACAGCATCATAATTACGCGCGAGCGATAAGGATGGGTAGCTTGGGGTCATTGGACAAAATTCTACGTGCTCACAGACCAGGCTTTAGGCATACCTTGCTTGGTGGCGGTTATACTGTTGCCATAATATTTAGGACTGAATCGTGATGAAATCTTATGTACAGTCGACGGCACATGAAGCTAAATGCGCATCTTATGTAATTTGTATTAAGTGTGATTTTGCAATACAAGTTTATAGTTTGATGTGCTGTCGGCTGTACAGTCAGCGTCAAATAGTTCTTGACACTCAAAGTAGCCAAAAGTTCGCAACACGTCTTTGTTACAATTGGAATAAGGTTGTGTTGTAAAGGGTTATGCCCACTTAGTATGGGACCTTTGGCCTGAGGTGGACAGACATTACAGCATGTAATTTGTTATTTATTAAATAGTCTATACCAGTAAGAAACAGAATATAAATATCATTTTGTATCCAAGTCCTTAAAAAAAATTTTTTTTTTGATTAAGACTAGAAAGGTTAGAAGCAAAATAAAACACCATTTTTTTATTATTATTATTTTAATCTGACTCATGGGTCAATAAAATATTGTCTAGGAACTAGGCAGGTGGAAATACATGTTCCTGATACCTTGCCCAGCTCAAAAACCACAAAATTGTCATAACATGAGCACAGCAACCTACTGTTATTCGGCCAATATCAGGGCAAATGAATCCTCGTCCCATCATGTGTTTGTTGGGGCTCCACAGCATGTGTAGCAGCTCGATCAGCTCACTGCCACTTAAGGATGACATATTTGGTCAGATCCCCGCAGCTGAAACAAAGAAATTAATTATGGTATCATTCAAAATTCATTCTTTAAGATATTGAGATGTGATGTCAATTTTTATCTATCAGTAAGAAGTATTTGTATAGAAAAAAATATACACTTTGTTCAAATATATCAAGCCAATGTCTTTAATAAAATATAATGAAAATAATTATAAAAAAACTTACTTGACGAGGTGAAATCTGTTCCATTATTACATTATTTTCGAATATGTGATTCTCTTTCCGTGTTAATATGCAGTCTATGGAACGTATTTGTAACAAAGACAATCCACGTTAACAGTGACCAGTGCTAGAGGTTGCTTCTTCATTTGTAATATTATTTGTCCTTGATTGGTGCAGAGCCACACCGTGGCCACGGTCCAACATGAGTGACAACATACACTGCTGTTATCAATCTAAAAAAAAAGTTTTATTAGGATTATGGTAATCTACGGTAAAGGTAGTTGATCAAATACATTGTAAAAGGTATTCAACAAGTCCACACGCTCATTCAATAACTTACCAGCTGAGGAGTCATCCACTGACATTATAACCAACTGAACTTAATAAGCTCTAGGCTATGTCGCCTCCTCTGCATCATGTAAGCTACACAATTGATACATATCATAGGTTCCTCATGAGGTTGAGGAATTGCTAGTTGCATTATCCAAAATCGGGCTGGGGTTAACATTGGGGCTCGGTTCGGAGTCCATACGTAAGCCGTGGTCGGCGTTTAGGCAAGGTTCGATGTCCGAAAGTGAGCCATTGGTCATTGGTTGAGTGAGATTCGTAGTTCGAGAGTATGCCAGGGTCATCGGGAAGGGAAGCATCGAGGACCATGGTAAAAAAAATAAAGATGTCAAAAGGGAAACTTATACAACACTCTTCTGCTTTTATTTTGGCAAAAACTTGGTTTTGAGAACTAAACAACACTCACGATGAAAAATACAAAACAAAGCGAATGACAGATAACAGCTGTGACAATATTTTCAGTGTTGCCATGCTAATAATGTGGTGATGAATAAAAATAATCGATATAAAAATCGATTGTATTTAGATGACTCGAAATAAGGTGTATAATGAGGTGTGTGTGAAATAAGGTTTCATTTAGTTATTTAAATATTTTTGGTAGTGTTATTAGAATATTAAAAAGGTTTTATAAATGTCATTTTAATGAATACGTATTTAAAAAAATAATAATTGTCATAGTCGAACAACAATCGATATGAATCGATTCTTACCGATAAGATTCATTTTGGCAACACTGAAATGAGTGTTAAAGACAGGAAGTTGTAATTATCACATAAAGTACTATTTAAATTGGATTTTTATAAAGGCAAATTGATACAAAGTTACACATAGTGAATACTTTAAAAATTAATTATAAAATTTTGGCAAATTCATATTTTCATTAGCAGCTTGTCCACGCCAAGCCAGAAATGAACATTGTCCTTTTTTGGCCACTTTGGGTGTCACGACCTATTTGAAGACTGTGCATAAGGTTTTCAATAAACTATTGAATAAAATAATTTAAATAATATTAATATAAACATTTTTGGGTGCAGAAACCATGGTTCCAAGCTTTGAAGAATGTTGTGAGTAAAAAAATAGCATGACTGTGGTCATATTACGATGCATGAATATTATATGCATTGCATGATTCTTATTTCTCACATGGATTAACAATAGTTCTAGCGCCTAACTCAGTCAGCGCCTGAGATATGGAAGTAGCACGGGAGGGGTGATTTTGACGTATTATGTGGCAAAGCATACGTATCTGAAGTCTCTTTGACATTTGGCGTAATAAAAAACACCCTCCCGTGCCGCTACCATGCCTCAGGCACGGACTAAGTTAGAAGAACTATATTATACTAGTTCATACTACAATGCATGAACATTATATGCATTGCATGTTTTTTATTTCTTACATGTATTAACTATATCTCTTAAAACATAAGCATGTTTTATTAATTTTGTATGTGTTTATGTTCTAAAAACAAAAAACATTGTGGTTAATTTACTTACAATATTATGTTTTTACTGAAAATTTTTGTTTTTCTCACGCATCTTTTGGCGTCATTGCATGGTACTATTTTTTATTTGATTAATTTATTTAATACTAGTTATTTAATTAGACTAAATTAATTTTTGATAACTATGTTTAAGCAATATTTCAATACAGTTCATTTCTATAGTAGTAGAGAAGATTTTGATGTTATTTTTGTGTCACAAATTAAATAATTATGTTTTAGATACCAACTTTTTTACTTGCACGTATCATTTTACTTTAAAGTAACTTACTTAGTATGTTTTTACAAATTAATTTTTATTAAAAAAAGTGTCTGTCTTTGTCATTGTAAAATGAACCTTATTTGTACAGACGGTGAATCTAAAGTCGCTTGCGACTTCCAACTACGGGTCGGACGTGGACATCATTAACGAAGATGGCGAGCTGGCCTCTGCTTACGAAGCGCAGAAGGGAATTAACAGGTAATAACTCAAAGGTGACTGACTGACTGACTGACTGACATAGTGATCTATCAACGCACAGCCCAAACCACTGGACGGATCGGGCTAAAGGCATGCAGGTAGATGTTATGACGTAGGCATCTGCTAAGAAAGGAGTTTACGAAACTCCACCCCTAAAGGGGTAAAACAGGATCCACGCGTACGAAGTAGAGGGTGGCCGCTAGTTGTTTTATATGGCGAGAATAGGAGAGAGTGGAGGGAGATAGGAGAGAGAAAAAGAGAGAGAGGGAGAGGTCCCGGGATAGACTCCCAAATGGACATCATAAACAGATGGCGTTTGGCCTCAGCTTGCAAAGCGCAGAAGGGAATTAACAGGTAATATTATTGTTTTTATATGGCAAGAGAGAAAGAGAGAGTAAAAGAGAGAGAGGGAGAGGTCCCGGTTTTGACTCAGATGGAACGTCATCAACGAAGATCGGATCATACGAAACGCAGAAGGGAATTAACAGGTAATATAATTGCTTTTATATGCTGAGAGAAAGAGGAGAGAGATAGGAGAGAGATAGAGAGAGATATATAAAACAGAAAGGTCCCGGGTTTGACTCCCAGATGGATAAACAGAGATCATGGCGTCTGGTGTCTGCTTACGAAACGCAGAAGGGAATTAACAGGTAATTTTTGCTGTATTTATTTGCTAGGAGAGAGAGAGATAGAGAGAGGAGAGAGGAAAGAGAGAGTTTATTTTATTTATTTATAAGAACAACCAACAAAAAAAAAACACGCATACATGGAATTACTATTTTTTTTTTTTTTTTTCATTTATTTGGGAAGACAAACAGCTTCACAATATGTATAACTATAAATAATATTACTTACTTACTAGGATTACAATTGTGAAACCAACCACGTCATCCACATATTATACATATAAACGAGTAAATTACGATGAGAGTGGAAGGTAATATTATTTTATATATCAGATTATGAAGATAGCAAAGGCTACAATATTAAAAAAATAAAAATTTTGAAGATGAAGCTACAATATTAGAAATTTAAAAAAATTTACAAATGATACTAGTCAATTGAGTACAATTGCTCAAAAACTAGTTTCCTAAAGGCGTTCTTATTGTTTGCTAATATGTCTATATTACTAAAATGTTCGTTATAGATATCGGCCAGGCGAGCAATAGGCGAGCGTTTACCAGCATTAGTTCGAGCAGTTGGAACATTGAATAGTTTGTGTGGTCGGCAGGTCCTAACGCGCGGCCTGACCGGTACTCCATAGCTAATCATATTTACTATGTCGTTACAGTCGTACTTATTATGACAGAAATCATGCAATAACATTACTTGCAGCTGTACTCTCCTGGATTTAAGATGAGACATCTTATATTTCTGCAATAATGTTGAATATGACAGTCGGCTTCTATGGCACTTAAAGTGCATGCAGTTCAGGAATTTCTTCTGCACTTTTTCTAATCTATCCATGTAGATGTTATAAAAGGGATCCCATATGACAGTGGCATATTCCAATTGTGAACGTATTAATGTCTTATAGAGATGGACGTAAGTGGCAGGGCGTTTAAAATCGTTACTAGCACGAACGACAAAACCAAACATTTTAAATGCGCGATTACAAATATATTCGATATGTTTATCCAATGTTAATTTTGCGTCTAATATCACACCAAGATCTCTAATACTATGCACTCTCTCAAGTTTTGTGTCACATAATAAGTATTCATATTGTCTAAAGGTCTTTTTTCGAGTGAAGGTAATATACTTACATTTATTTAAGCTTAATTTAAGTTTATTATTAGTGCAATATATAGTCAGTCTGTCTAGGTCCTCTTGGAATTTGTCATGGTCATCACTATTTTCAATGACACGGTACACCTTAAGATCATCTGCGTACAATAAGTATTTGCAGTGTTTGAAACATTCACAAATATCGTTGATGAAGATAACGAATAAGAGAGGGCCCAAAATAGAGCCTTGCGGAACACCAGATGTTACGATAATTGTGTCAGATTCATGTCCGTTGATAATGACCTTTTGTGTTCGATTTGTAATATAGGATTTCAACCATCTCCACAGATTACCTCGGATACCGTTGTACGCCAACTTCTGTAAAAGGATCCTGTGGTCCACGCAGTCGAAGGCCTTTTTAAAGTCAGTGTACACACTATCTGTTTGTTTATTGGCATCTATATTTCCAAAGAGCTCCGATGCATAGACTACGAGATTAGTTAAAGTGGACCTCCTGGAAACAAATCCATGTTGCTGTGTTAAAATATTTTTATGAATGTGTGGGTATAGATAACCATGTATTAACCGTTCAAGCAGTTTAGCAATAGCCGATAAAATGGATATTGGCCGGTAGTTGGATACATCTCTTTTAGAACCCCCTTTGTGTACCGGCACGATCCTAGCAGATTTCCATACTGTAGGGCAAACGCCCTCTCTTAAACTTTTATTAAATAGTAGATATAGGGGCTTGTGGATTGTGAGAGCTGTCCTTTTAAGGAAAATCGGTGGTAGGTTATCTGTACCCGGCCCCTTCGACACGTCTAGTGATTTTAATTCAGTTATAATGCTATCATTTGATATAGATAAGTCACAAATAAGTGTATCTGTCTGAGTTTTTTTATTTATATCGAGTATATCATCAATGTCAAAGGAGTCGGGAACATGTGAAGACTGATAAACCGATTCAAAAAACCTTAAAAAGAGATTGCATATATCGCTTGGATCACACGCATTGACACCCATATATGAAACGTTACTTGGAATATCGGATTGATTTTTACGATTTTTAATATATTTCCAAAAGTACTTTACATTGTCTTTAATACTAGTCTCAACCTGATTCATGTAATTATTGTAACATTTAGTCGATTCCTTTTTAAACCTATTGCGAAACATACAGAAAGTTAAGTAGTCAGAGTGGTTTTTGTATTTTTTCCACTTTACCCACGCCGCATTCTTGTTTTTAAATATGTGTGTCAATGATGATGTAAACCAGGGTGGAAAATGTGAGTGAGAAATGATCTTGGATGGAATATGTTTTCGTATTATGTTATATATATGTTCGTAGAATGTACTTACACTACTCTCTGAATCTCTTTCTTGAAATAAGTCATCCCAATCAATCTTTAGAATTTCCTTATTAACCTCTTCATAGTTAGCGTTTTTAAAGCAGAATTTTGTTTGCGCTGTCGCATGTATGGGTTTTAATTGATCAGTCGGTAGTGGTACTAAAACGTAGAATGCTGGATGATACACATCAATTGGTACAAGCGGCATAGGTGCGCCATACATCTTAGAATCAGTTATATTAGTTATACATAGGTCCAGGAGACGATTAAGACTATTTTTTATTAAATTAATTTGATAACAATTAAATAGTGATATAAAATCCAAGAGGTGTGAGTTGGGTGGTTTTTGATGACTACTTTGTAGAGGTTTTGCTTGTGAACCATCAACATACCATTCGAGATGGGGCAGATTAAAATCTCCAAATATACAAAAGTTATCGCAATTTGCAATCTGTATGTAGTCACGTATAGTTTCAAAATAAGATAAGTAAACATCGCTATCAGTCCGGGGAGGAATATATATTGCACCAATAATTAATTTTGTCTTTCCCATGCATAACTGTAGCAATACATGATCAACTACGGGGGGCAGGTCGAGGGGGGCGGCGGGGGGCGCGGCCGCACAGGTGGCGGAGCGGTGCGAGCGCAGCACGGCCACCAGTACTCCGCCGCCGTCCCGGAGGCCGGATGCGTCACGGTTTCGATCGGCGCGGTATACAACATAGCGGGAATCAACAAATTCATTACTTCCTATGTCCGAATGTAGCCATGTTTCGGTTAGTATGACAATGTCGTATGTATGAGTAAGGATATTCATATAGATTGTGTTTAGTTTCGTTCTGAGACCGCGGCAGTTTTGATAGTAGATGGATAGTGTGTTATCGAATTTTGTGTGTGTTAATAATATAAAGTATTGTTATATGTAATTGGGTTAAACTATTGAGGATAAACATCGAATAATTATAATAATATGGAAAATCATTGGTATGCCACGGTACTATCATGTCACCACGATTGCCAGCCACAAATAATGCTAATGAAACATTTGAGGTATTTAATCTACATAGGAAATGCCAGTTTATAGTAAGGAAAGTACAACTGAGAAGCAACTTAACAATTACAAATTCATTTACGCCAGTAACAAAAAACTTCGGTTTATATAAAAATAACGATATTATAGGGTTAGGAACTGAGTTAAAGCATAATTTTGTATTAAATAGATCAAAAACGGTTAAATTGTTTTTTACATAGAAAAAGGAATACCTACATTTAGTACTACATTTACTTAATTTTAGCAAGATCTTGTTCAGTACGAATAGCCATAACAGGAGAAGTGTCTGACTTGCGTATAAGAATGACTCCATGCTTGATCCAAGTGTATTTATAATTTTGTGATCTAGCTTTGTTGCGACATTCGCGAAATAAGAGCTTATTCTGCATAGTGAGATGCTCGTTTATGTATATTTTTTGTATTTGTCCGGATAATCCCAGCAGCTCGGTATTGAGGTCTTTTGTAGAACGACTTGAGGCAATTACGTTATCACGCATTATTCTTGTGATAAATTTCACTATTATATTCTTGGGGCGGGGGTCCTTTTGGTCAGCGTGGGGGACTCTGTGTACAGCTACAATATCGGATGCAAGGATTCGTTGGTTAATCACTGTTCCCAACTTTATAACAATGTCAACAAGGTTCTCATTTCGGCGATCGGGTAAATTAACGATTTCTATATTACAGTCCCTTGCCTGCTGTTCCATGTTAGATATTTTGTGTTCTAGCTTTTGTACGTGGCTTGGAAGGTTGCAAGTTTGTTGCATTTGATCTTTTAGGTCATGTAATTGCTTATCAAATGCATCTTGGCGCTCATCCGAAAAGTTTAGGGATTTCTCAATTTCTGTTAGGCGGCAGTTAACACTATCAAGTGTTTCTTTCAACATAGTGTGGTCGGTGCGCACGGCCTTAACAGTGTCATTTAACGCATCCAAGGAGGACGAAATCTTAGATAATACGGTCAGTTGAGTATCAAATTTCGTTTCAAGTTGATTAAAACGCTGGCAGATGTCATCCTCAGGTTGTTTACGCTTACGTGACATTAAACAAGCGTCGTTCATTGTTGACGTTGATAAGTCCGGATTTGAAGGAAATTTTGGTGGTGTGCGTTGTGTAGCCATCTTCGTAAATGTTCTCAATAGGTGCGAGTGAGTTAGAATATTGTGATGCTGTCCTTTTAATCACCGCGAGTGAATGAAGTCACTTCGCCGCTACAGCGATGAGCAACGACACAAGACTGAGACGGCAATAATATTCACACGTTTTCGCGCGGCTATAAGCACAGGATATCGGCACTTAACACAACTGTCACAGAGGCGAGAATGGTATTACTAATATTGTAGCACAGTCAGTACGACGAGAAACACGTCCACTCTCAGCGGTGTTCGCACGACGAAAAAAAGTACTATAGTTACTATGCTTAGAACTAAGTTTAATGAAAGAGTTTAGAGAGAGATATGAAAGAAATAGGAGAGAGATAGTAGAGAGGGGAGATAAGAGAGAGAGAGAGAAAGAGAGAGGTCCCGGGTTTGACTTCCAGATGGGACATCATAAACAGATGGCGTCTGGCCTCAGCTTGCAAAGCGCAGAAGGGAATCAACAGGTAATATTATTGTTTTTATATGGCGAGAGAGAAATAAGAGAATGGATAGAGAGAGAGAGGTCCCCTTTTTGACTCAGATGAAACATCATAAACGGAGATGGCGTCTATTATGAAGCGCAGAAGGGAATTAACAGTTAATATTATTGTTTTTATATGGAGAGAGAGAGAGCGAGAGAGAGATAGGAAAGAGAGAAAAGAGAAAGGAGAGAGAGAGAGAGATGAGAGATAAGAAAGAGAGAGAGAGAGGTCCCGGTTTTGACTCAGATGGAACATCATAAACGGAGATGACGAGCTGGCCTCAGCTTGCAAAGCGCACAAGGGAATTAACAGGTAGTTTTATTATGGTGATAGAGAAAGAGGAGAGAGAGCGAGGCGACACAGAGAAGAGAGAGAATAGGTGACATTTGAGTCCAGTTGCTCTGAATTTTGTCTCAATTTTTCCATTTGCCTCTAGTAAATTAAATAAATTCGTGTTCTTATTATCTCCTAGTCGTAGGCTAAATGACCAAAATGATGAATACATATCAATACTATCGTATTTAAGTCCCCTGACCCTTAATTTAAGTGTTGTTGCCCTCAATTCTGCCTTCATTTTTCTCAGAGGGTCATGCTCCCGCAATGGATACTAAATGACCTGATGATGATGATGATTTCTTAATGTTTCTTATTTCAGACAACTACAAGATGAGTTGACAGCCGAGAAGAAGTTCTATTCCGAGCACATATCGAAGACTAAAGCTGAGATCGAGCGACTTCGGGAAGAAAATGAGAAATACCAGAAGTAAGTTTTTCTTTCTAAGTATTTTTTTTTTAATTAACAGGCCAACCCACTCCTGTTACATTTTTAATACACTAAACATAGTATTGAGTATTAAAAAAGAAATTCCCACCTCTCTTACCCACCGCTGCAACTCCTGTGTAGCCAGGAACTACTGCCAATAAAAACCCAAGCAGTGAAGGTCAAGTTTGTATACACTCGCGAGCAAAAGTATGGAATCACTTACATGAAGTTGTTTCCACGCGGTCTTGTGTACTAACGAATTTGTTAGTAACAAAAAAAGTAGCACCATTTTAAAGATTAAACTTTTAACTTTAAATTGATACCAAATTCATTTTAATCACACCGGTATTTAAAAAGATATCCCGGCTGATGTGAAGAAGTAAGAAAAAAGGCATGTAGGGCAANTAGTGAATCAGTGTAGTGAAGTGTCAAACAAAGTTGTCATGTGTCAAATTCAAACAAAAGTTCAACGGACTTCAAAGACTGGCTTAAAAGGGCATGCACCCAGAGCCGTGAAAAACTATATAAAAAAAAAAAAGCATACGATGGCGGATTACGTTTTGATGCGATTGTAAAATGTGATTATTCGAAATAAGAATATTGAGTTCAAAGTACGTGGTTTCAATACATATCCTGGAGTATTTCAACAATTCAGAAGTGGTACCGACCTACCGAAAGTTTGGCAATTCTGTTTGCTATCCTGTACCCAACAAGTTACAAGGGGTAAGTTGTCTTGTATTTCACTTGGCTATTGTAACATAATATCTATATAATAATCATTTGTTGTATGATTCCCATGATATTACGCCAACGGGAGAAATCTCTAGGATATTTCTCACACTCGATTTGGATATAACTTGTAAACAAAAAAAAAATTGTCATAAAGAGGTTATCAAATGACGATTTCGTAGAGAAGTTGACATGAAAAAACGGTTTTCCCTCTGCGATGTGCACCGGCAATGTTCAGAACTTGGTCTCGGGATAAAGCCACCAGTCTCCCGAAAGCGTCTTAAAACTTTCGAAACCCAGGACTGGCTTATGTGGAGCTGACGTGCGACAGCCCGCTGGCTGAGCCCTTCTTGCAATAGTGCAACGATTTGTGCCGCTTCTGAAGGTGTAGAATCCCAGGTAAAGTGTCAAAAGAAGCGGAGATGTGTATGGATCAACGTGTGAAAGCAAAAATCCGAAAACACGTGCTTTTATGGGGGGTAAATAGGCCGCAACTCGCGACGTATCAAACAGTTGATACATGTCTTTTTCCTTACTTCTTCACATTAGCCGGGATATCTTTTTAATTACTGGTGTGATTTAAATGAATTTGGTATCAATTTAAAGCTAAAAGTTTAATCTTTAAAATGGTGCTACTTTTTTTGTTACTAACAAATTGGTTAGTACACAAGATCGCGTGGAAACAACTTCATGTAAGTGATTCCATACTTTTGCTCGCAAGTGTAGTTTGTCAAAATATATAGGGTTGAAGTACATTCAATACTGTTGACACATGCATGCATGCTGGTTGCAGGTTATTGTTAGCAAAATTAACTTTAAAACCATGTCATAATGTACCTTACAAATAAGTATTAGAATAGCATTAATATTTATTTCAGCGAGGAAGATGCAAATACAACTAGTAAGAAGATACTGGATAAGTTTAAAAAATATTATAGGAATGACGTCAGCAGTTTTATTTACAAGAAAAATGTTATAATGAATTTGACATTTACATTATTAGGAATAATTTAGGTTTAAGTATGAATGTTACAAAAGGTAGGTGAGAATTTTTATTTATTTATTGGTATGTTTTTTTATTGTTTATGATTGTTAATAAATGAAAGAAATATGAATGGTTTTTGAATGCACCACGACCAGTTTTCATATTATTTTGAGAGCTACAGGGGGCATAGTGTAAGTTTTCGTCAAACGCATTCGATGTCGAGAGAGACTGTGTAAAAAAGTGACATTAAATATATGACTAATTGTACAGCGCCCCTAGCGGTAACTTTCAAGACCTAAAATCTTCATAATTTTTTTTTAATTCGCTCGCTAGTGACGACATTTGATGTAAACTCACACTACGCCCTCAGAACTATTCCCACCTCTAGTTTTCACCGCTACAACTCCTGTGTAGCCAGGATCTACAGATTGACCGGCAATAACCCAACCAGTGAAGGTATACAGTTATAAATTAAGCTCTATTTCATACACATAAGGTTGACATTCAATTCTCAATCAAGGTGACATAACCAGCGACATTTCTTCGCAGGTTGCTGAGCGCAGACTTGAGCCAGGAGCCGAAGAACAAAAATCAGGAGTTTGCTCAGAATGAGATCATTCGGCTGGCAGCAGAGAGCTTGGCTTTGCAGGTAAAGTAAATCCCATTAAAAACTAGCTAGCAGAACAGCCTCCGTTAGATTTAAATCTAGAAGTAAAATTGAATTGTTCTGCCTGTCATAGATATGTGTCAAGATGTGTACACACAAGTATGTACAAATGTTTTACAAAGATTCGTCGCAAAAGCCTCCATAAGATAAAAGTTTACAAGTAAAATTGGGTTGTTCTGCCGTATGTACACGTCTCATGCTGCATTGTCCAATGCGTGGCCTCCACTCCAGAACCTTGCTGCCCCATCGGCCGTTAGTTCTGCGTACTATGTGCCCTGCCCATTGCCACTTCAGCTTGCTAATCCGTCGGGCTATGTCAGCGACTTTAGTTCGTTTAGGGATCTCCTCATTTCTGATTCGATCTCGTAAAGAAACACCGAGCATAGCCTTTTTTAGCCGCTGCCAACCGGGAAATGTGGAAATCATTAGGGGTGGCCTATGTTCAGCAGTGGACGTCCTGTTATGATGATTTGAATCAAACATTACTTTAAAAATCTATCTACATTCTTTAGTGGTATACTATTTTAATGGATAGTTAGACCTAGTTTAATGTGACTTATGATTATTTACCTCCGCTGTACACACGGCCACACAGTTAACTATCCATTTCCGTTTTTGCTCTCGCTCTCATCAAATGGTGATTCTTTGCGATAGAACGAGACGACATGACAGGCGATGGATAGTTAATACTGTTGCCGATGGTACATTAACTACCGCAAGCTGTTTACCACTGTGTGCCATGCCATGCCATGTGTGCCGACTTGTGCAAGTTTTATTGCTAGTCTAAACCTCGCTTAATTTTTCTGCATCTTCAATTCTTCATAATATAAAAAAAATACAGGAACGAGTGGACAAGCTATCAGAGAGCTGCCGCCGCTACAAGAACCAGATAAGGCTGCTGGTGAACAAACTGAAGGAAGCTGGGATAGAGGATGTCAACGATATCCTAGAGACTACGGGTATGACAGAATAAGGCATCTTTATCTATAAAACGAACTCGGTCACTGATTGACCGTCGTCAGTCGGTCACTGATTGACCGACTGACTCACTCACTCATCAAGAAATCTCAAAAACTGCAAATGTTAGGAGTCTCAAAAGACAATGCCGGAAATTGGCGTCTTTTTTTTTTCGCGCGGCCATCGACCAAACCTTGGTTTTTGATTACAAAATAGTGTAATAATAAATAGATTACAAATAAACCAAACTTACTATGACATGTATACATCTAAACTCAGTCTGAACTGAGTTACGAGCGTTAGAAGTTTGATGATTTACATTATAGATTTGCTTTTTGCGCGCAAGTTTTGTAAGAAATTGCAACAAAATAGTGACATTGTATGTGTAAACAAACAATACCAACCATTAAAGGCTCCAGACATCAGTGTGGAGCAGAATCAGCGCAATAAAAAAATAGTGCAATATTTTGTTGCAATTTCTTACAAAAGTTGCGCGCAAAAAGCAAATCTAGTATGAAAATCATCAAACTTCTAACGCTCGTAACTCAGTTCAGACTGAGTTTAGAGGTATACATGTCATAGTAAGTTTGGTTTATTACACTATTTTGTAATAAAAAAACAAAGATTGGTCGATGGCCGCGCGAAAAAAAAAAGACGCCACCTTCCATACAAAATCTGGCATTGCCATTTTGCATGGGGGTTCCTTTTAGAACGTAGGTGCTCATTAAGACGGGATTTTGCAAAACTCCACCTCTAAGGGGGTAAAGCGGGATCCACGCGTACGAAGTCGCGGGCGGCCGCTAGTTATGTATAAAATATAATTTTTTTTTGACACCTAGTACCACTATTTAAAGGTAATGTCAGACTTATCAACACGGAAAGGGAACAACACCGTATCGCCTTTCGCGCGTTGTCAACCGCCAGGCTTGTCGGTTATGCGGATAAGTGCGCGTTGCAGTATGGATATACAATATGGAATACTGACCGCCTCTAGTTGATACGGTTACGATCCCTTTCCGAGTTGATAAGTGTGCTACGTCCTTAATCCTGTATATACCATGCTTTTTTTGTAACAATTCATCATTATTGACTGACCATTTGTCCACAGAAACAGTGGTGCCGAATGTTTCTATAGGCCTAGAGATCACGCCGGTGACGCGCAAGAAAGAGAGGGAGTATCTTGGGATGTTCGAGTACAAGAGGCAGGACGAAGCCATCATTATCAAGAAACTTATTACAGGTGAGATTAATCTTTAATGGATCTGAGACGTGGTCGATTACTATGGGCTTCATAAGAAGGCTCAAGGTCACCCAAAGGGCGATGGAGCGAGCTATGCTCGGAGTTTCCCTGCGTGATCGAATCAGAAATGAGGAGATCCGCAGGAGAACCAAAGTGACCAACATAGCTCGCAGAATTGCTAAAATCAAGTGGCAGTGGGCGGGACACATAGCTCGCAGAGCTGATGGCCGCTGGGGCATAAAAGTTGCAGTCAAAGTCAAAGCTCTTTATTTAATACTTAGCTTACCTTACCAACACTTCAGGAGAACATAATGAACTGGTGCTGAAAAGAATAGCAGAAGAAATTCAATCATCTAAATAGGGATGTTTCTTGGGTAAAAAAGCGAGAGTTTAAATTAGTGAGTTAACTTATAAAAAAATACTCGACACATATTTTTCACTTTTTCAAACTAATGAAATAGAGATAAAGCGTGCCAAAGTTCACAAGAAGTGGTCCGCTACGTCAAGAAGTGCAGCAACATTAAAAGTATAGCACTTTGTGACGTTACGCGGAACTTCAACGCGTCATAACTTTTTTGATTAAAAATTAATAATAATAAATAAATAATAAATATCACTGCGGTATTTCGGACGTGAGAATTTCGCGAAGCTTCCCTTTTTTTCTTGTCAGAAGCGGCATGTAGTCAAATTGTGTATGTTTCTTCCAGATCTGAAGCCAAAAGTGGCCGTAACACTTCTCCCAGGCCTACCCGCCTACATCCTATTCATGATGCTGCGTCACATGGACCACGTGGATGACGAACCCAAGATGCACCAGCTCATGAAGGCCGTCCGGACCGGCGTCAAGAAGACCCTTAAACGACGCGCCGACAGCGTGGCTTGCAACGCTCTGTGGCTGGCCAATATGCTCAGGTGGGTCAAAGTCACTCTGGTCACACTTGGATGGGGGGCCGGGGGTCACTAGATGGTGGGCCGGAAGTCTAGATGGGGGCTGGAAGTCACTAGATGGGGGCTGGGGGTCACTAGATGGGGGCTGGGGGTCACTAGAGGGGGGGCCGGGGGGCCGGGAGTCACTAGATGGGAGGCCGGGGGCATAATCTTTTCTTAAAGGTTTTAAATCTTTGTTTGTCACCTTTCATCCGCTTTGCAATGGAGGGAAGTCGAACCCCTCCTATCTTCTTCTGATTAATTTCGTTGCGGGTCCAATGACAGTTTAACTTTCCCCCGCGACAAACTTGACCTTCATTGGTTGGGTTTTTGTGGCGGTCAAGCTGTAGATCCTGGCTACACAGGAGTTGCAGTGGTGGGAACGAGAGGTGGGAATAGATGGGGGGCCTTGAGTCACTAGATGGTGGGCCGGAAGTCTAGATGGGGGCTGGGGGTCACTAGAGGGGGCCGGGGGTCACTAGAGGGGGCCGGGGGTCAAGAAGACCCTCAAGCGGCGCGCCGACAGCGTGGCTTGCAACGCGCTGTGGCTGGCCAATATGCTCAGATGGGTCAAAGTCACTCTTGTCACACTTGGATAGGTGACAGGGAGTCACTCTGGTCACACTTGGATGGGTGACCGGAAGTCACTCTGGTCACACTTGGATGGGTGACCGGAAGTCACTCTGGTCACACTTGGATAGGTGACAGGGAGTCACTCTGGTCACACTTGGATGGGTGACAGTGAGTAACTCTGGTCACACTTGGATGGGTGGCCGGAAGTCAGTCTGGTCATCTGGTCACGATCGAATACGCATAAACACGAAATCGAAACAATATCGGGCGATTAACACATCAATACGAAAAGTGTCAATCGCTTGCATGTCGTTGAGGTTTTTTTACGTGATTTACACCACTAATTTAATTGGTAACTCTATATGTGTTATAGAATGCTGTTTGTTTTCCTAACAATAAAATAAAATAAAAACTACTGTACAAATTTTTCAACTATAGTCTGGTCTGCGAGCACGTAGATTGTTTTGTCCAGTGACCCCAAGCTACCCATTCTTATCGCTCGCACGTAATTATGTTGCTGTCGCGCTCGCACACTCACTGCGGGCGCCCGTCGCACAGCCGCGACAGCAACATAATTACGTGCGAGCGATAAGGATGGGTAGCTTGAGGTCATTGGACAAAATTCTACGTGCTCGCAGACCGGGCTTTACCACAGTCATCCCGATTCTAACACCAATCTCTCTCCAGGCTACTGAACAATCTACGACAGTACAGCGGCGACGCGGTGTACCAGAGCGCCAACACGCCGCGCCAGAACCAGCAGTGCCTGCGCATATTTGACTTGTCAGAGTACCGCCAGGTGCTCAGCGACATCGCCGTGTGGATCTACCAGGGTGAGCTACTGACTACCCTTGACTCTATGCTGACATATCCTGACTCCCGTTCATAGTTGTGACGTCGCTTTAATCTATCAGAGTGAGCGGACCCTGTGTTGATTTGCTGTTGCTACATCGCCGTGTGGATCTACCAGGGTGAGCTTATTGAGTAGCCAAATTGTTTTGAAGACACTTATACACGTCCCAAATATAGCTGATTCCACCCATCGCTTTGGGACGACATCGAGGCATCTACTGACTGCTGCTGATCCCTGACTCTGTTGACATCCTCTGAATCTCTGCTAATATCTCCTGATTCTCTTGGCAATGACGTCGCCTCGCCTGACTGTTGTCAATGTCAACCCTTGACTCGCTGTTGCGACATCACCATGTATGTCTACCAGACCGGGGAAAGCGACCCTCTACTGACATCCTCTGACTGTTGACATCTTTTCACTTTATGTTGACATCCCTTGACTCTGCTAGTATCTCCTCATTCGCTGTTGTGGCTTCGCCGTCTAGATCTTTTAGGGTCAGCGGACCCTCTCTTGACATACCTTGGATGTTGACATTCCCTGACTCTTGACATTCCCTGACTTTCGACATTCCCTGAGTCTCCAACCCGTGGCAGTCCAGCGGCGACGCGGTGTACCAGAGCGCCAACACGCCGCGCCAGAACCAGCAGTGCCTGCGCATATTTGACTTGTCAGAGTATCGCCAGGTGCTCAGCGACATCGCCGTGTGGATCTACCAGGGTAAGTTTATCAATTAGTCAAGTTAATTAGTAGACCCTTTTTAGGACACTTATTCACGTCTCAAATATAGCTGAGCTACCATCGCTTTGGGACGACATGCTAACAGCCGGTTGCTGGAGTAATCCCTGAATGCTGACATCCTCTGATTTTCTGCTAATATCCCCTGAATGTTGATTATGACGCCGTCTGACTGTTGTCAACCCTTGACTCGCTGTTGCGAATTGCGACATCACGGTTTATGTCTAGATAAGCGACCCTTTACCGACATCCCCTGACTGTTGATATCTTCTGATTTTCTGTTGACATCTTCTTACTCTGCTAGTATCTTCACTCGTTGTAGCGACAACAGCGATGACATCCCCTGACATGTTATGACATCGCACAGATGAGTCTTTAAGCGGACTTTTTGGTGACATTCCTTGACTGTTAATATCCCCGAACTGTTGGCATACCTGACACTCCATTGGCATCCCCTGACTGTGCTGTCAGTCAGAGGATTGACTCTTCGTTGCTACTTGTAGATTAAGCAGGGTAAGTCCACCGTCATTTAGGTCCAGTGAACCTATAGGTTGAATTCCTCCTATGCTGTCATCTCGGTCGTTTGCGATCGCTATACAAAACAATCGAAGAAAATGACCGACGATCTGGTGTAAGTGGGAGAAAGCACCTGGATGCGGTCAGTTAATACGTTACGCGCACCTGTTTGGCAACGCATTGAACGCGCTCATAGTGGTCAGCAGATAATTAATAGTCACCCTATAAATTCGTCGCTGACATTGACATAGGACTAAACCAATTTTCTAGCTAATTGTAAATCTTTTGTCCCCAGGACTGATCCACCTCCTAGAACGGCAGCTAGAGCGCCTGATAGTGCCGGCGATCCTCGAATACGAGGAGATCAGCGTGCGCCCCGGGGCCGTCCGGGCCCCAGCCGGGCCTGGGCCCGCGGGCCCCGCGAGACTCAACCACGATCTATCAGCCACGCATGATAGCTTGCGATCGCATGCCGTCGGCGCACCGCTTATTGGGATGATTTTTAAGCAGGTTAGACACACTAGCAATTAAAAAATGACTTTAGACTGCAGGTTTTTTAAACTATAGGTACATCTGAGAAGATTCCCGGGGGAGCGGTGTGGGGAGGTGTTTTGTAACGTCTAAGGTCAACGAGACACAAATACAAAATGTAGGTATATTATGACTTTCAGTAGTCTGATCAGGATGGAAAGTGTAGATCCTCCATTTACCTCTATCTAGTAAATTAGTGTCGTGCTCCTGCAGTGGAGACTAAATGACCTGATGATAAGTACATTGTAGTCAGATACTAATTATACTTAGGGGGCCCCATCCGGGCCCCCGCCGGGCCCGGGGCCCGCGGGCCCCGCGAGACTCAACCACGATCTATCAGCCACGCATGATAGCTTGCGATCGCATGCCGTCGGCGCACCGCTTATTGGGATGATTTTTAAACAGGTATAGAGAGAGATAGATATAAAAGAGAGGAAGAGGAAGAGAGAGAGAGAGAGAGGTGGCGAGAAATAGGGGGGAGGGAGAGAGATATTAAGACCACAGATACAGGAGTTAACTGAGTAGGTTCCAGTAATAGTGGAAGAAAGACGGCGGCGGTTTTTTACGTCACCACGATCTTTCGGCGACACACGACGCAGGTCAGTGATAGAGAGAGAAAAAAGAAGAGGGAGAGAGATATTTAAGGACTACACACCACGCTAGCAGACAGCAGATGGCTTGGTGTCGGTGGCTTTATTTCAAAAGAAACATGTTTACGGCTTGTTCTTTCTATGACTTTTGACGACATGCAGTAGAGACTAAATGACATGATGATGAGTACATTGTAGTCAGACACTTAGGGGGCCCCGTCTGGGCCCCCGCCGGGCCTGGGCCCGCGGGCCCCGCGAGACTCAACCATGACCTATCGGCCACACACGACAGCTTGCGATCGCACGCCGTCGGCGCACCGCTTATTGGGATGATTTTTAAACAGGTAAGTGACAGAAGAAGAAAGATAAAAAATAGAGGGGGAAAAAGAGAGAGAGAGAGAGAGAGGTGGCGAGAAATAGGGGGGAGGGAGAGAGATATTAAGACTACAGATACAGGAGCTAACTGAGTAGGTTCCAGTAATAGTGGAAGGAAGACGGCGGTTTTTTACGTCGCCACGATCTTTCGGCGACAAGACGCAGGTCAGTGATAGAGAGAGAAAAAAGAAGAGGGAGAGAGACAGCAGATGGGTTGGTGTCGGTGGCTTTATTTCAAAAGAAACATGTTTACGGCTTGTTCTTTCTATGACTTTTGACGACATGCAGTGGAGACTAAATGACATGATGATGAGTACATTGTAGTCAGACACTTAGGGGCCCCGTCTGGGCCCCCGCCGGGCCTGGGCCCGCGGGCCCCGCGAGACTCAACCACGATCTATCAGCCACGCATGACAGCTTGCGATCGCACGCCGTCGGCGCACCGCTTATTGGGATGATATTTAAACAGGTATGTTATAGAGAGAGAAAGACAAAAAAGTGAGGGGGAGAGGGAAAGAGGAAAGGGGGGGGGGGGGGAGGAAGAGAGAGAGAGATATTAATGTTACGGAAACTCTGAAGAAGCTGTGGAAGCCGACAAAACGGACATTTTAAAGACCCAAACTTCCGAATGCATTGGTTGCTTCAATGATTGGTATCGTGTATAGAAATATGTGTCAAATTTCGCGGAGAATACTTTAAAAAGCAATAAATACATTTTTAAATAGTAATGTTGTTTCACTTCCTTGATTCCCGAAATTTTCAGTGCCGCCCTCGTATTAAAACAGCTGTATTTCATTAAAATAAAGTGGCAATTGTCTATAAAGAAAGTTCTCAAAAGATTGCTCAAAAACTAATTAATTATAAGTCTAAAAGAGGTCATTCTGTAGGCTAGTTTCCGACATTTTTATGAAGACAAACAGAAAACGGGCCAGAATAATAATACTAATACTTGTTTTTTCCAGGTGGAAGAGATATTAGGAGTTCTGAAGCCCATCACACAAGCAGTTCACCTCTTACAAGCCAGAAAATCCATGGCCGACGTGGATTCCACAGTCGACATGTGTCCAGACCTCACCGCTATGCAAGTCTGCAAGGTATGCCATTCTAATTCAGTTCAGTTCATCATCATCATCATCATTTCAGCCACAGGACGTCCACTGCTGATAATAGGCCTCCCCCAATGACGTTGATTTCTCAGAACAGACTTCCAGCTGATCATAGGCCTTCCCTCTGATGATGATGATGATGACAATGTCATTTACTATCGTTCGTTCGTTCGTTTCAGCCAAATGACGTCCACTGCTGGACAAAGGCCTCCCCCAAGGCTTTCCACAATGAATGGTCCTGCGCTGCCCGCATGCAGGCTCTTCCCGCGACCTTTACTAGATCGTCAGTCCACCTAGTAGGAGGCCTGCCTACGCTACGTCTTCCAGCCCGTAGTCGCCAGTCACCACTCTAGTCTACTATATAAAAATAAGTCGGGTTTTCCTCCCTGACGCTATAACTCCAGAACGCACGAACCGATTTCCACGGTTTTGCATTCGTTGGAAAGGTCTCGGGCTCCGTGAGGTTTATAGCAAAGAAAATTCTGGAAAAGGGGGTAAAACGGGATCCACGCGTACGAAGTCGCGGGCGGCCGCTAGTTGAACATAAAATAGTGCACTCAATAGTGTTCTTTATTTAAACCATATTAATGTCCACAATGCCTCGTCCGCAGCTCCTCAATATGTACACACCAGCCGAGGAGTATGAAGTGAAAGTGACTCGCGAGTTCATCCATGAGATCCAGAAGAAAATGCTCGCCAAAGCTGGACCTAACCTCGACAAGGAACCGGTGAGTGTAATCACTCACTCGCACACTTCAATCACTCATTGCATACTTCAATTATAAATGACCCACGCTGAACTGTCCCACCAAACTCAATGACAGGGGGTCGCTACCATCGTTCAACTATATGGTTTCCAACATGGCAAAAATCGGAACCAGCGGTCCCGTATTGACGGTGGCGCCCCACTGTCAATGTCATGGATAGGACAGTTCAGTATTTTGGAACTATAACTCCTCACACATATCACTCAGTCACTCACAAAATTTGACACTAACTCGCACACGAACTCAATAACTCACTACCACATTCTCTGCTTACTCAATTACCAACTTATAATACACTCACTCACAGACTCACAAATTCACTCATTTACAAAGTGCATTTACTTTCTGACTTACGTTAGGTACTCACTTTGTCTTACTTTACTTATTTTATCACTTTACTTATCTCACACATTCTCATTCACACTCACATACTGATTTACTCTTCATCTGTTCACTCTCACTCTCTTATTCAATATCTTACTTACTTTTACTAACACGCTCATTTACTCCTCCATTAATCAATTACTTACTCTCACTCATTATCTCACTCGATGTCTCACTGACTCACTCACTCAACTATACTCAGCATCAAATAAACCGCACCTTCCGCAACGCGAACTTTAAAGATTTTCTTCTGACACAATCATGGTGCCTCAACAATATTGGTGTTATTGGAAAGCCCAATAAATATCCTTATAGAAAAACACATCTAATTTCTTAATAAACGATTAACATATACCATAAATGTGACTTTAAAAACGACCTCACTTGGAGCTCACCTCTGGGATCAATTAGACCAATTTTTATGGTTATAAAACCAAATAATGATCTCATGTGTCCTCTTTAACAGATGGATAGCGATTAATCCCAACTTAACAGTTTTACGAGTATAGCCATAAAAGTTGGCTCGAACGTAACTACCTATTTTTTGAATAAGTGACTCTGGATCCTTCTAAAGATACATTTTTAGGGTAAAAACCTTTCCTTTAGTTAAATGAAGAGTAGAACTAGGCTTTTAATGGTGCCAATATTGGTGGGAAGTGGGGATGCATACGTTTGAAAGTGCTTGTCGCGTGAGGTGCGATTTATTTGATGTCGAGTGTATTAAAGTTACACTACTTAATGAAAAATGTGCTGTAACTTCTGCTAACAAAGATTTCTTTTCGCAGCAAAACCTATTGATGGACTCCAAAATGATATTCTCCGTTCAATTCCCGTTCGATCCGTCGCCGATCCGGCTTGAAGCGATCGAGTTGCCAGAAGTACTCGAATTGGACGGCCTCCTAACCAAGATTTAAGGACGCTCGCGAGCAAGGTTCGTTCGCGCGCGAATGTTCGCCGAGTACATGCGAATGTGACATTACTTGGGATTTATCGTCTATAAATATTTGTTACCCGACTGCAGGACAAGGGGTTATGTTATTTAGATTGTTCGTGGTCAGATCAGGACTTCCAGAAAAAATTCCCAAAATCTATATTTGCAGTTGCATGTAAATATGTCTGTCTAACTTAGACAGTTCCTTATATACTGGATATGTCTAAATGACAGTTGATATAGCAATCCAAGAATGGTGGGTTTTTCAATACCTACTTGAAGCTTGGAATGAGTATCACTCCAAGTCATATAAAAGAAAAAATACATGCCCCAAAAATTATACACAATTTCAAGAATGTCACATTCACATAATAAAAATAATGATATTAATAATTTCCAATATACTTATGGACATTATTGTCTTTATTGCCTTTAAGCATTTATTTATACTATTTCTATAATTTATTCATTCCCCAATTTAAATTTAAATAATTATACATTCCAATTTTGAATGCCATAATTTATAAAATATTTACAAAATCTATGAGAGTATACAATTTTTTTTTGTCTAATTTGTGCCATTTTTTCTATAGAAGAATTTATTTTTGTTTTTGAGTGTGTTTAAATCAATTTATTATTATATTCCCAATTAAATCTATAATTTCGGTATGTGTGTGCTATTTTCAATGTTTGCTTGGTGCAATATTATTTTTAATAGAAAAACATAATCTTAAACTTTGAGATCAATAAAAAAAGTTAATGCTTAATAATAAACAATAAAGTAGAAATAAAAAAATATAGACCAAACAGATTTCAGCTGCATTTTATATGAGATAATAAATGAAGTACTTTTATAGCGATTAGAAAAAGTATATTTGACAAATGTTTATTAAATTAATATCAATCACAAGACATTCCAGAATACAAAATATTTTAAAAAATTGCAATTATTATAAATTATTAAAAATATATCACGGTCAAAATTGCCATAATATAAATAATTATGATTGTTCACACACATTCTCTTCCTAATAATACGAACTACCCGCTTTTTATAGCACCATAAGTATAAATCAATTATATGACATGGGGTAATTTTGACTATGGGGCAATTACAACTATTTAGAAGTTGGAATTGCCTATTTTCTAGTTCTGTATGTAGTGCCTATTTACTAATCTGCCCCTTTCTGTGGCAAAATGTATTGCTTGGAGAATTTTATTCCTGTTTTTACCCAACTGCGCCAGAAGGAAGGTTTTCGTATAAAATCAAGCATATTTAGCTTACCACGAGGGGTTAGCGGGACTAGTAATTTGTATTTACAACACCTTTAAAAATTATACAGTGTGAGTCACGTTAAAGTGTACATATGAAAATAGATGAAACTAGACCTACTTTTATCGACAAAAAAGAGGTCAAATTTTTTTTTAGATTTTTTTTTAATTTTTTATAGAATTTTTTTTCTTCCAATTACTTATTGTAAAGAAAACGTAATAACTTTTAAACTAAGCGGAATATCCTGATAAAATAAAAACAGTAATAATGCTAAATAACAGGCGATACTAAAAAAATACATAAAATAAACAAAAAAAGCCAACAAATAATAAAAAATGATACTTTTTGAAAAAAATCTGCTTTTAAATTCGTGTTTTTTTTGTTATTTGTTAAATTTCTCCAAAAAATGCCCCTATAACCGGTGGTTTTTATTACTTTGTATTATTTTCTATCGTATTACCTTCGTAAAACCAAAAATCGCATGTCTCTACCCCTATCACAACGTTTGCAATGATCGTTTGAACTAAGCCTCTCCGGGCGCGCCATTCAACGCTTCGTTAACAACGAAACTGAAAATGGCTCTAGATTTGTAATTTTGACAAAGACAAGTTAGATTTCAAATAAAAACAAAAGATTTCGAAGTAAAATAAGCATTTTAGTTAAAATTAAAATTGTCTTTACCTGTAGCGGAGAATAATGTTGTGGCAGGCCATTGTTCAAACGATCATAGCAAATGTTGTGATAGGGATAGAGACATGCGATTTTTGGTTTTACGAAGGTAATACGATAGAGAAAAATACAAAGTAATAAAAACCACCGGTTATAGGGGCATTTTTGGAGAAATTTAACAAATAACAAAAAAAAACACGAATTTATAAGCAGATTTTTTTCAAAAAGTATAATTTTTTATTATTTGTTGGCTTTTTTTGTTTATTTTATGTATTTTTTTAGTATCACCTGTTATTTAGCATTATTACTGTTTTTATTTTATCAGGATATTCCGCTTAGTTTAAAAGTTATTACGTTTTCTTTACAATAAGTAATTGGAAGAAAAAAAAATCTATAAAAAATTTAAAAAAAATCTCGAAAATTTTTTGACCTCTTTTTTGTCGATAAAAATAGGTCTAGTTTCATCTGTTTTCATATGTACACTTTAACGTGACTCACACTGTATTTCTGAGATAGTTGGATTTGCCCCAAAGTTGAATTTGCCCCAGGTCAAGTCGACTCTATAACAGTAATTATTTTCATTCCTATTTTATAATTCCTACTTAGTTATATATTTTTTACAATCAACGAAGTTAAGTTTTAAATACATTTAAGTTTAATTACTATGATATTGTTTGTTAGACAGTTTATAAATAATCAGGTTTGACTTATATTAATGTATTATTAGTTATTAAATAAAATAAGCGAATATATTATGGTGTTCATCGAAATACAATTATATTTGTCGATTCTTTAGACTTTAGCTGTTTAAAAATGTTATAATTCACGATAATTTAGCAACTGAAGTTTCAAATAAAGTGAAAATCCTGAGTACAACCTATAGCTTTCGTTCTAGACAAAAAATACATACGCACCCCAGTAATTTTTGGTCTCGGTCGCGCGGGGTGCGGGGAGTTTGATCCGAGTAATCCGAGCGGCATTATTGTAGTGTGCGTGTGCACTCATGGATCATTTAACGTGTACCAATAACACTCAAACATTAGCGGAAGAATGGTGGGGCGCGTCTTCATGGATGAAACGATCTATAAATATCTGAGTTTGTTTAAGTATTGATCAAACTCTACCCCCTATTTGTAATGGGGCAAAGCCATCGATGGTAGCGTAATGACACATTTTACTTGTCATTTTTTTAATTTAAGCTCTACTTATTACTTTAATTAACTACAGAATAACTGAAGTCTAAATATTCGACAAAGTATTATTAATTGCTAATCCATTAGTTATTGTTTGTTGTAAGGTATACACATAGACATTAGATAAAGTTGTTCTTAGCCGCAAAAATGCAAAATCACCTTTTAATTTTTATTTTACTTAAAACTAATGGAGAAATAAAACTATACTGGATGTCGAGTTAATTTAGGGCATTCCTTTTACGATAGCGAACTTTAAAATGTATTTCGTTTAATAATTTTAGTAAATATACAAAGTTACATTGTGATGTTAGTCCACTCGGAAAGCCTTATTATTATACTCGTAGTAAACATAACACCGTCACTTTAAGTTTCGTTTGCCTTCTGTCCCATAAAAACACATTCCGTTTCCATAGCAACTTTATTAGCATAATAATAAAGGTGATTTTGCACTTTTGCAAAGTTTGTAAAAGTATATAGATAAATATAAACATAAAAACATCGTTACCATGTTAATTAATGTCAGCTTAGGTGCTTGGACACGTTTGTTATAAATAAAAATAGCTTAAATATATTTATATAGCATAATATTTAGTGTAATAGATGAATATTTATTGTTTGTACTTAAAAAGATGTAGGGTAAACCGTATAGCTATTGCCCACTTAAAGATTTCAAACACATGAAGATGAAAAATTTAAGAAAGTATTTTAATTATCGACCATTTATGACTTTTTTCTTATAACTCAATAAACTGTTAAACAGAATATTAACAGTTTTTAGTTAAAACTTACGTAACTTAGAAAATATTGAAATAAATTTAAAATCCTCCAAAAAGTACAGTCATTGCCCATTACTTACACTAATTGCCCACATCAAAGCACAGTAATTGCCCAGTTTCTTAAAACAAAATAATCAATTTTAAAATGACAAAATAGGCTTTAAATAAACAAAACAAAACATTAAACTTAAATTCTAGTAGTACAGTCTTCAAAATTTCAAAATAAATTGCGTTTAGCCTTATATTATCAAATATTTCTTGAGCTGATGTTGATGACTCAGAATCGGTAGAGATAGAATCGTCTACTTCAAAACATAGACGACGCAAAAATTTGAATTTTATATGTAAATTTTATATGTATTTATTTTTTATCTTCTTTGATATCAGTTCAAGTGGTTGCTCAGAATGTTCAATTAGCTGTTGGTTATTCTTCCCTAAAGTTGTATCTATTTCCGTACAATTAACATTTTCACTAGTAGATTCAACATAGGATTTTCATTTTTTGTATTTGCGTTTGAATTTTTATCAATTTTTTCAAGCCAAACCATATTTTTCAGCATTTTTCTTGTAGATAAATTGTTGGATACATCTTGTACAGCTTCAATCGCTATTTGCAAATTTTCTATGCTATATTGAACTTTTGGAGTCTTTGGCATACTGAAAATGAAACATTATAAGCCATTTCAATATTTATGCCTGTAAATTGCAAAACAAGTCTAGCAATGAGCAACTTAAACACTGCTACTGCATGGTGGCTACACTCTAATAATAATTTCCCTGGGCAATAACTATACATTAACATATGGCAATAACTGAAATGATGGTGGGCAATAACTAAAAATATACAGATTTACGTGCAGTGATTACCCACCGTTAAAATGACCGTTAGAAATCAAATTTTATCAGTTATTTTCATTGACAATAGAGGAAAGACTTATAATTTCATCATGACTATACACCATTAGTTGAATATTAAATAACTTGCAAAAAAAATGAACCTCTAAGCAAGTAATTCCTTAGTAAAATTGTTAAAGTCTTTACCTGTTTGAGTAACATTTTCACCCGTCTTGACAAAATCCGTCATATCTTTTTTTTTTTAGTGTTTCCTATTGTAAATTTTAAATCTACTGTACATTGATCTCGGAGCCATCTACTTAGTAAATTCAAATCTAACTAGAGTGATTCAAAGTCAGCTCCTGACAATATTATTCTTAAAGCGGGCAATCACTACCAGTGGGCAATCACTCTCTGGTTTACCCTACTTAATTTTTGTCGTAATAAAGTTGAAGATTGACCTGATTTTAGAATATTTATGACAAAGACGGTAAAACGAGAGAAGTTCAAAAATGTACAAATAACTGTTTTGTTTATTATACACTAGCTTTCCGCCTGCGGCTTCGCCTTCCCGGAATTTTGTCTGTGACAGAAAAACTTTATCGCGCGCATCCCTGTTTCAAAAAACCGGGATAAAAACTATCCTATGTCCTTTCCCGGGACTCAAACTATCTCTATGCCAAAATTTCAAAATTCATCATAATCGGTTCTCTGGTATAGGCGTG